AGTCTAGGCATACATAACAAAACGTCTTATTAAAAACCACCACGCATACAATGTCAAAATAAATGTTAACCAGGTCATGCAAAATCATAAATCATAAATTTAACCACCTCATAAAATACCAATTAAAGTCCCAACATTCAACAACGGCTACAAAATTTCGTTCGGTTTCGAAATGCATTTGAATCTGAAAGATTTTCGGTTCGTGAAAATTCATTCAGTTTGGAAAATGCATTCAGGTAACAATACATGTTCGATGTTTCGACATACATTCTGTTTTAAAATGTATTAAAATTAATACACGTTCCATTTTCAGAAACACTTCCGTTGTTCAAAATAATAGTCTATATGTTCCAATCTCTATGACTCTAATGCTGCCTCGTACCCGTTACAAAGTTAACAGAGAAATTTAGTTTCGCGTGATTTTCCGATATATATACCCCTGGAATATGGGTGGCTATAGTGGCCTTGATTCACTGTTTCATTTTCTTATGCCTTAACTGTAACGTCTTACCAGGGGATCCGACGCCATACCCCATGAAAACAAACTTCATTCTTCATGGTCTTGTGCTTTAACAAGTTCAAATGTCTTGTTTAACTAGTTCGTTTGCCTGTGCCCCTTTTCAGGGCGTATTGTATGGGTTTTCGGGGCTTTGGGGTTCCATGCTTATTCCTCGTGGATTTCTCGTGGATTTCTCTTCCCACCCCCACCATGCCACACCCCCTTGCATTTTGCCCCAGAACTATTTGTAAACATGTTTTATTTTATTTGAATTATTTGTGGGCAACAAAAAGTGAGGCAACAAAGAGCCAAATATTGAACCTTTAGTGCAGGGAATGAAAAAAAAAGAGAGTATAGAATCATTATGTTGGAAGTTTTTTCCAGAGTTGTAACGAGTCACTGATTTTTGTGACTCAAGTTGAGTCGAGTCATTTTAAAGAAGTGACTCGAGTCGAGTCGAGTCATTTTAAAGAAGTGACTCGAGTCGAGTCGAGTCATTAGGTCGAAAGGTCGAGTCGAGTCAAATCTATAGCTCGAGTCAATTCGAGTCACAAATATTTGAACACTATATACCAAAATTTATAAAAGGAGGCCATAAGTTTAGCCAGCGTTCGAATCCAAGAGCTTTATAAGAAATCGCCTAGAGCCAATGATGAAACAGCGAAAAATCTATTATAAGATGGAATTTTGCGTCGGGTGATATAAATCAAATTAGGTTTGCCCTTCTTGCATTTATACGTCGGTGAAGGGCAAACTAAATCGATTTATATCACCCCGACGCAAAATTACATCTTATAATAGTTTATGCAGTACCCGCTGCTATGTACATCAGATTCGAACAAGCCAACCGATCCCGTTAGCTCGATCGAGTGGTAAGACATCTGCACTAGAAAGCAGGAGGTCGTGGGTTCGAGCCCCACCCGAGTGATTTTTTTTCCAAATTTCACTCGGGAGGTAACACACTGAGTAAACAATGTTTATACGTTTGTGAAGGGCAAACCTAATTTGATGAAGCGAAAAATCTGGTTCTTGGATAGTATTGTGTGCGTTCTAGAACCATGAGGTGGGAGTCTGTGACACGTTGTATATTTATACATGACTAATTCGCAAAGCGAAGTGAGCATAAACTTTGCACCGTAAGTCATTGCAAATACTTTTCGCAAAGTTGTGCTTTAATATTTTTGGGACTCGAGTCTTATTAGCCTTCGTTCGAGTCGAGTCTTCTTGAAGGACTCGAGTCGAGTCGAGTCATTTGCTCGCAGTGACTCGAGTCGAGTCGAGTGATTTACCCTTAGGGACTCGAGTCGAGTCGAGTCACCAAAAATTGTGACTCGAGTCGGACTCGAGTCGAGTCATTGACTCGAGTCATTACAACTCTTGGTTGGAACACAATTATTTTGAATAACGTTCCTTTTTGAAACGGGGACACACACTTCATAATATTGCTGGGGTGAGGGCAATAAAGACATTTCTACGGAGGACGGAGGACGAACAGTTTACGTCTGCTTTTCTGCCGTCTGAATAGTAGAAACACAGACTGAAAGATCCATTTTGCTGGAAGACGAATGGTGGACTGCTTTTCTCTTGCTCGGGGAATTGCAGGCCCCCCCCCCCCCCAAATTCCTGTGTATAACATTTGCATGATAAGTGAACCGGGGTATGTGCTGGCCCACTATAATCGAGTAGACCCTCCCATGCTGAGTCGAGTCATAGCCATATCATGCATCACGGGCAGGCGGACCACTGACATGACGGCTGATAGTTCCTTTTCTCTCATATCATATCAGGTCAAGCTATCTGGATAATTGGACTCTTTGGGTGTGGCCGTTTCTTCGACCTTGGCTCTTCACGTGTTCGTGCTCAAGGCTTGGAAAGTTCAGGGGTGCGTTTTGGCGGTCATAACCAAAAACTGGTGCTGTTGTTTCTCTTTGGTTAATTGCTTTGGGGGTCAAGGGCGGATCCAGAACACAATTTTTTGGGGGGCCAAAAAAATGTTTGGTCTCCCCAAAAAGTGGGTCAAATAAATTACGGCGTGGGGTTCGGGGCCCGCTTAAGGGCCCCGAAATTTTTTTTGATTCTAGATGCTCTGTGGTGCGATCTGAGGCAATTTCTGACCACTATAACCAATGTTTTTTTGAGGAAAAGATGGTGGTGTACTCATTGCCTGCCTGTATTGCGATGTCACATAAAAAATTAAAAAAATTGGTTTCGTTTGGGGGGGGGGGCCATGGCCCCCTTTGGCCCCCCCTGGATCCGCCCTTGTTGGGGGTTAGAGTATTGCATCGTCGTGAGTAATTCTCATCCATTTAAAATTCCCGAAGAAATTCGCCGACAAGAAACAACCGAACCAATTCTTGGTTATGAACGCCAAAACGCACCCCAGGTCTTCATTGAAAACACCATGCTTTTAAGCACGGGTGCAACCGTGACCCTATCCGTGCGGACCTCGTCGCCAGTCAAGCCCTGCGGTCATTTCAGTTAAGCCCCGTGATCATTCCAGTCAGCCAGCCACGCCCCCTCGTCGGACGCGGACCTCGGGATCCCGAGGTAGGACGTGTGACAGGATGCCGCTCGTTACGCCACCCCTGCTTGTCTAACCATGGAGGTACCTCCATGGTCTAACGGAGCAACCCGGCCCCCTGTTTTCCTTTCAGTCCACTGGGCATTCATTCATTCATTCAAATACGTAAGAATCGGCAGACTTCTTATTTATCATTGTGTAAATGTGCATTTATACTCTCACTTTGATTTTGATTGACTTTGGATTATTAATACAAATGGATGCTTATCAATTTCTCTGAATTGAAATCATTGTTTCCCCGCCTTGTTAATTGCTGTTCGTTCAAATTATGTCCCTCCTTTTTGGCTTGAAGTTGTTCTGGAAAAAAAGTTGCAACCTGACGCCACTTTTTCTTCATATATCATTTCAATGAAGGTCATTCATTGCAAAAATGGTAAGACATGAATCTGGGACCGAGAAATATTTCCAATTTTGTTAGGAATTGGTTAGGAAAATTTTCTTGGCATCTCTATAGACTTTGTACACAATCGCGGAAGTACATGGCGTCGCCTTTTTGCAACATTTTTTTCTCCGTTCTTTCCATTCACGTTTTAGCTGGCCTGTGTGACCATGGAGCTATAAATGGTGTGACGTAACACACTGCATAGTTTGTTCAAGCGGTCGAAAAAATAGCTTTTTGCTTTTCTCCTTTCAAAAAATCGGGAAATGCGATCAAATGTTTTGACAACAATTTCTTCTACTTTTCTGCTTTTCAGCCGCCAGAAAAGCCGATTTACTGAGACGGCCGAAAAGTGGCCATTATTGTGTTACCTCGGAGATGCCGGTGTTAAACCATCTATCGTCGCAGTTGGTCTTTGTCTCAGGAAAAGCAAGTGTCACTTTTCGGCCGCCTAGCGTGGCGTAGTAACCGTCGGTGAAACCAAACTTAGGGTGCATCAATATTGTCTGAAGTGGGTTGGAGCACTTTTTCAAGATTTTTCAATTTCTTAGAGAGTTGGACCAAAGAAGTTCAAACTACACATAGTCTAGAAATTGTATTTTACTCATGATTACTGGGTTCATAAACTACAAAGTAATGTAGAAGAAAAAATACCGATAAAAGCATACATGTACAACTTTGTTATAAAGTTAACGGTCTACATGTATTGATTTCGCTACAATTAGAAAACAAGGGACCCCAGCAGGTGTCAAAGTCAATCAAATATGTAAATGGATTTGTACAGGACTCAAAATCGGCCAAACTAAAAAACAAAACAAAAAAAACGAAAATGAGTAGGCTTGAATTGGATGCAGGCCCTGACAATCAGATGTGTGTCACTTTCCAGTGTGCACTGAGCAAAATAACATGTTTGTGTGTCGTATATTTACAGATGAATAGGCCTAATGGTTTTATAAAATTCCGTGTCGTTCATTTTCGTTTTGCGTAAAATCGCTCAAATTCTCCCTCTTTAAAAAAAAAGGCTTAAAACAAATGACATACGAGCTGAAATTTCACATGAATAGTAACCAAATTTCTGTGGTGGCTAATTATACTATATATGTCTATAAAAAAATAGACTTGGGGCCAGATTGTTAGTTTTGTTTCTTTGTCAGACGTGCCCGTGTTAAATAAAAGTAATGATTCGCCTCGGTGTTAGAAGAATAACAAAAGTCGATTTGACTTGTAAATGTTCTGCCTTCCCCTATTCAAAAATATTGGGTGGAAAAAAATACGGCCCTCCCTTGGCTCTAGGGTCAGGAGAAATGGCATCGAGTGGTTTTGCATTATATAATAGCTGAGTTGAGCTGAGGGGTACGTACTACGTACGTATGTGTGAGCCTGGAAATGGGCCACACATGGGCCATACAATTCCATGACCGGTACGCGGTGTGTACTGTGCATGTGTCGCACGGGACGGGGGATCCCGTTGCTAAGGCAGGTACAAAGGCCAGTGACTTTCTGTTGACTGGTAACTAAGGCCCGACAGGTTGACTACGCTACATAATTGATTTGTTGATAGGGGTGCATACATGGTGTGTACTGCACATGTACAGGGATTCAGTGTAAAAGAAAAACACAGTGACACGGACATCGTCGTCCCAAAAATTTACTGAAGAACTTAATGATACAAGCGAAATTAATTATCATTAAGCAATATAGAAGTGAAAAAGTAGTGTCAAGCAGCTCAGTTTCCAAGTGAAGCGATCGGCGAGTTGTTCATGGTAATCGAGCAGACGATAACAAGTCATCAAGTATCAATGGCGTTAGATTACTCAGCGGATCGTCTAGATACGGCCAGCAGTGAAGCAAGGCAGATCATGGGACAACAGTTCCCCAATTTCACTTGTATCTGTGAAATTTGTGATTGCGGGTAGGTGAAGCGTGATTAGATTTGACCGATAATGTACGGTAATCTTTTCTAGCATCGTTTTTAATCGTTATTTTAACCTGATGGTTTGTGCACAGAAAGATAACTCTCTCAACTGTGATCCAGGTTGACGTTAAATGACAGATTTTGGGTCAACTCGTACCCGAGTTAACTCGTACCCGAGTCAACTCGTACTCGAGTTAACTCGTACCCTAGTCAACTCGTACCCAAGTTAACTCGTACCCGAGTTAACTCGTACCCAGGTTAACTCGTACCCGAGTCAACTCGTACCCGGGTCTACTCGCACCCAGGTCAACTCGTACTCCCCTCCTTTTTTAGTTTGGAAGTACGGATGGATGGTTTACAAAAACTTCCGATTTTACCCTAAAAAACGGCGACTGAGAAATAGTAGTTACGCCGCCAGAAGTACAAATAAAGTTCAAGGATTAGTTGAAGGCGGTGGTATCAAATGTTGCTCACAATCTGGATGAAAAGGGAAAATGTACCGTTCATCGGCAAGGGCTTCATCGCGACGGGTACCGCGCGGAGAACATTTTCAAAACGGCATCAGTGTGGTACTCGCAAGTCGACGGAGCCCTCGCTGATAAACGGTAAATTTCACTTTTCATCCAGATCATCAGATGTGTTATTTTAAAATGTGTGTAGTATTTTCTCTTAGTAATGATGTTATTTCTTTCTTTTTTCAGAGACCCTGGATCACTGAGATTGCGGAGTGACTGTGCGAACTTCTACGTCTTTTTTTGTTCGGTCGAACCTGTTTTAAGGGCGTAGTTTTCTTTTTACGAATTTAGTATTTAAGACCTTTTTTTTTAAAAGAAAGTCGCTATTAAAAAATGAATTTTGTAATGTAAAAGTAATATTTTTCAACGTTCACTCACTCCATTTTTGGCATCATTTATTGAATAATAACTGCACATGGCACAAATCTCTTTGGGAAGATTGGGGGCCCTGAAAGTACAAATCTGAAGAGAAAATATATTACAGGAAACATAAAAGAGTCACACTGACATCGTTATTTAATTTATAATGATTCTTTAATATGTTGGTCATTTTTTTGTATAATTAGTTCGGTAAATGTCGTAAAAAAATTCTTGTGAAGCTCAAATAAAGTTTCTGCGATAAGTTCAACTAGAATATTATTTTGGTTACAGAAATGTAGGATTTTTAATTATTTGTTTACATTTGAGGCATCAAGGAATTATAGTAAAAACGTAAAGGAAAATGGTGGCTCGTTTCATTCAGAGATGCTCTTTCTATAAGTTTTAGGGGACCAATTTGTTAGCTGATCCTTGGGTGTGAAAGATTGTTTGACATTAGCAAATTGTAATTCAAGTGCAAGAGAAAGTTTTATCTTAAACAAAACTGAGCTAATCGGGTTTCGTCCTCAAAACTTGACATCCGATTCGATTCATCATGAACTGTGTGACAGACCATCCGATCGATCGGTTTGAGCAGCAGAAAATAGTTCATCTGAAAACCACAGTATCATATAAAAATAAAATAAAGTGATAAAAGCATGCATACTTTAGGTAGAACATTTACTTGAAGTATGAAAATTAGCCCCGTATTAAATATGTACAACTACAACTTACACCAAGGCCTAATGCCGTTGAAAAACGGCGAAGGTTCCGACACTAACTACGCAACGGCAAAAACACCGTGCACGCACAACCACTTTGACCGGCGAGTGTACGCACAGGCTCGGCAAAAACGATATCACCGTGCACGGTACGACCATGTTGGCCGATGAGAGCGCGCACAGGCCCGGCAAAAACGATGTCACAGTGCGCGGACGTCCACGTGGACCGGCGAGTGCGGGCACAGGCCCGGCAAAAACGATGTCACCCTGCACGGACATATCCAGCTCCGATCTTCCGTTGTTTCACTGATTTTCTTTTCGAAAATAGGCAACTATTTTGAGCTGCGGGTACGAATTGACTCGGGTACGAGTCAACTCGGGTACGACTTGACTCGGGTACGAGTTGACTGGGGTACGACTTGACTCGGGTACGACCTAACTCGGGTACGACTTGACTGGGGTGTCAATTTTGGGGTACGAGTTGACTCGGGTACGAGTTAACTCGGGTACGAGTTGACCCATTTCCAAATGACACACTCTTTGGAATTTTGATATATTAAACGATTTGTCTTGGAATAGCACTAAAACTGAATTTTAAATTTCTGAAACAAAATGAAGGAATTAAATGGCCTGTTATGTTTTGGAGATTAAAACGGACTATTTGTTTCTGGTGGGTAACCAGTTAAAAAGAGTAAACAAAAGAAACATATTTTTAAAAATTAACCAAACATGGTAATAAAAAAAAGGCGATTTCCCCATGTGACGTAATTAAACAAAATTTCCATGGGCGTCGCGAGGGGGGGGGGGCAAGGGGGGACCCTTCCCCCCCCCCCCGGAAAATGAAAAAAAAAAAGGAAAAGGGGAAAAAAAACAGGAAAAAGAGGTGAAAAGCCATATTGCTGTTCATTTGATGGGGGGGGGGGGGTAGGGCAAATGCTCCCCTGCTGACGCTCGGAAAAATGATAAATTGAGAATATAATGAAAAAGTTAAGGAATTTGGGGGGAAAATTTGCTTTGCCCCCCTGGAAAAAAATCCTGGCGACACCCATAGAAATATCTTTTAAAAAAGGTATTGAAATGTTCTACATCAATAAGGAAATTAACAACAGTAGCAATATAGCAACATTAAGTGAGCACTTTATACTCTATACATGTGCTTACAATGTCATGGATGTGTATGGGGGGGGGCACAGGAGGTTGTACATATGGGTTAAAACAAGTTTTGGTTTTTATTTTCTAGACGACACAAGCATCACAAGAACTGCAAACGTAAAAATAGAGGAATCAGAGGCAGTGGTGCCAAATGTGCTCTGAGTCACTATCAGCAGACATTCAAGCATCCAGATGCAAGTTATCAACGTAGACTACCAATCATTCCTCCTCCTACACCACGGGATCTGGACCCTCCACACATGGACTTCAATACCATCCAACGCTCCGACTACCAACAACGGGTTCAAGCAAAGAAACAACAACCGATCAAAATGGTAACAGTGGCATTCAAATATGCTTGAGATTTTAAAAATGTTTATTGAAGTCAACTGTAAAAAGCAGTTCTTTCTGTTCAAGACACGACTTGGAAAGTTGTGTCCTTTTTCTCACCAAATGATAGTCTTGTGTGCAATTTACTTATGATTGGGTTGAAAGAGCAAGTTTTGATTACTTAAATAAATTCTTGAGAAAAAGCTTTCTAAACTTTTTTCTGTCCCAGTTATGTTTTTGGTTCTAGTATAGGAATTCATTGCAAAGATCAACTGATTCCCTTTAACAGACAATCATACATACCTGAGACAGTTTACTCGATCCTATTGGTCGAGAGCGTCCAGGCCCCAAGCTGGTTTTAAAAGTACTTAAGAATGCCAAGCACATATTTATTCACTTATTTGTTCTCATTAAAACATTTTGAAAAGACTCCACGGTAGATAACAGGCAGCATGAGTCTCATTTGCAGTGTGCACAAGTTTAATTCACTTTATCAGAAGTGTGCCCAAAAAACCCAAGTACGTGCGATTAATATTTTATGTAAATAATTATGCCATCAAAGGACATTTATTTGCTGAACAAAATGGTATTTAATAAGTTCTGAGGGCCTGACATTTATTCACTAGAAATACCCTCCTTAAAATACCCCACCATTACCGAATGACAAAGGGCTGGAGTTACATAAAAAAACCACCACATACTGGTATTTAATAGCAACATTTTGGGTCGTTTGTTCAATGTCAAATAACATTTAGATTTTGAGAAAGATTCTACAAGAATGTAAATGTCAGGGCTATGTCTGTTTTGGAATTTTGAAATAATTTCAGTCATCTTTCATTTCTAGACTAATTACATTTGTGAAGGAGAGGTTTTAATCTTTTCCTTTATTTTTGATGTCCAAGCAATTTATTCTCAAATCAAAAAGTTTATTTTACAAACATCAATTGTGGTTGGTAAAATTGATGGGATTTTCTCCCAAACAGGAGGAAAAAATGGAACGGAGTAATGCACCGATTGAGGACAAAACTATGTACCGTGAATCTTTTCCTGGACATTCGTCCTTCCCAGCCATTAAGATGCGACGACCAGCCACGCAGAACAGAAAAGGTCTACGATCAGCCAAGTTTGACAGTCGGACATCAAATAAGGAACATTATAAGCACTGGGTGCCACGCCCTGCAGCAGCATTTGGTGAACTGCCTTCATTTACAGGTTGGTCATTGTACATTGTATATGCAATTTGTTAATTGCTATTTTGTAGTGACTCAAGACAATTCATCGACAGTTGTGACTTGAGTCAGAGAGCCATCATAATCTTGATTTTGTTTTATGCCCCCCCCCCCAGGATCCATTCTGTACCCAGGACAGAGAATTGGGGAACTTGAGTCTGTAACAAGGAATGATTTCCCTGGCAACCATGCTGAAGCTACAATTGCTGCAAAGAAGTTGCCAGATAACATAGTCACTGAAGGTATGATGCTTATAGTTAGTGACTTGTCCATCCATCTGATGCATTGCTATGGTATTAAATAAGAAACAAATTCATTCAAGAAGCATTTCTTCAAATGGAAATTACTTTCATTTATGTGAGGCATTCTGGCAAATGAGACAGAACAAGTTGACAACTTATAGCTGCTTATAAAGTCCCCACTTATCGACATATCAAAAAAGTAAGATATTGAGAAAAAGGCTTTACAAATTTTGCGTTTTGTATTCATGAAAATGAAAGATGCCGATCATATTCCCTGAAAAAAAAACAACTTTTACTCCAGGATTTTTATACTATTTGTTTAAATTATGTGTAGTTGACATAAATAAATCTGAAACTTGAAATCAAATCACCCCCATTTGTTTTTGTGCATTTTTCCCACTATGGCCTGTGCCCGGTTCCATCTCATTGTGCAAGAACGCCTCACATATTAAAACATTTAAGATTTTTTTTAGCAGTGTGTGTTAACAAAGTATACATTCATGTATAGAGAACATGTTGTCTGTAGTCAGTGGAAGTGTTACAAGCTGATAATATTGCAATGGATTTGTTGCAAAAATACTGTGTTCTGTTTTGCAAATTTAATCCAGGATTCCATTCCAGGATTTAATAATCCACAGTCTTACAACAGTTATAATCTGGAGTTATTCAACTTATAAACAACGCTAAGATTTGCCAGTGTTGACAATGTTTGCACAAATGGGACTGATTGATGGCCATCAATGTTGGCAAACTAATGCTAGAAAATAGGCTGAACAGTCTTCCTCAACGTTTCACACTGTTTTCTAAAATGGAATTCATTATTTGATCAAAGCAGTTATTTCCCTCTTTGTTGGCTAAGCTGCCTTGTGTACTAAATTGATCTTCCCACAATTGTATTGATATGCTGCCTTTGCAGGTGAATTTGATCATGGTACAACTAACAGACACGCCTACCAAGACATGGGACCACAGGAAAAGACTCAGACAATCAAGTTCGCCTCACAGCTAACCCGTGACAAACGGGCAAAGTTTGACGGCAAGACCCAGAATATGCGAGACTTTCCAGGCTACCGTAGTCAGCCATTACCTCAGCGTGCTGTCACACCCCCACCAGCCACTATCAGACTTAGTATGGACTCAAGGTAAGACCAATGGAGATTCAAAACTTCAAAAGCATGTTCGTCTCTTTTTTTTAATTGTCCCAACTATTTATTATGTGACCATTGAGCATAATATACTATTCAGATTTATTTTCTGTCATCAAAATAGGCAGCAAAGTAATTACCAAATGTATCTCTTTTAGGGTGATTTCAAGGATATGTCATTTCTTTTCACAAGATTTGACAGCAATAAAAACACATGCTATTTCTAAAATGTCACGTAAGTGTGACAGTTATTAAATTTATAAAAAGGAAGTTTTACAATCCTGAATTAATCAACCCAAATTCATTCCAAATTTAGCATCGATATTGGTTAACTAAAACATTGTTTATTTGATTTATGTCTGCTGAAATTTGAGAATTGAAGTAATCAGGAAAAAAAATCAACGTTTATGTTCTATTGTCTTCATTAATGGTAACTGTATGACTTGTTCTATTTGAAACAGAATTGAGTTTGTGACCGAGCAGCAGGACCAGTATCCTGGCCATGATACCAGACAACATCCAAAGCCAGAACTTATGCTGAAAGATCCTAAGACCTATTCAGTGCCAACTACAAAGTTCACAACCACGACAACCAATAAGGTAGATATATAACATCACAACAGAACATTCAAGCGTCTTGCCAAACACATACATGCAACTACATGTATCAGTTATTGTCCCTACCCTTTGCATTATATTCTATCCCACATAATCCACATCAATTTGGACCCAAAGTCATTGCAATAACTGTTCTGCACTTACAGCACTATACATGTAGTAGAGAAATTATGGGCAAAGCTAGTTTGAATGTATTCATACGCAGAAGTCAACATTGTACATATGTTAACCATGAAGATGCTTACCTTTAGTAAATACATGTAGTTTTATTTCTGCCATGGGTAAAGTGTTCATTTATGGTAAGCAGAACAATGACATGGGGCCCTGGAGAATGTAACATTTCAGTTGACAAAGTCCCCATTGAAACCTTTCGGCAAGGATCCCCAACCTTTTGGCTTATGAAAGCAGTCAGTGCACTTGCCATGATTATTGATTGACAATGTTATTGTTTCAGATGACTTATAAGCCCATTGACACCAAAGATGCTTACAGCACCACACGGATGCGCCCAATGACCAACACTGACAGACAACCAGGCAAGTTTGATGATCAAACCATCAACAAACGCTTCTACAAAGACTGGGGAGTCAAGCCACGCATACGCTATGGAGACCTGCATGAGGCCAATATCTACATACCACCAGTAGGTCATATGGCTGCCCATTCAGAAACTATGGCTAACTTTGATGGCAAGTCATTAGCTGAGCCCACACGTCCATTCCTGCCAGCTACCCAACCAGCTGAAGATCAAGGCAAACAGGACTTCCGTACAGTGCACAAGGAAACCTACAAAGGACTACGCAAGCCTCTATGCAAGGCAGAAGCCTACATGCTACAGCAAGAATTAATACGAAGGAAAACAATGAGCAAAAGTAATGATCCAAAACAAACTGTAACAGCAGCTAACTAAACGACACACAGTGGCAGCTTGCTCAACACAAATGTTATCAATTGTAAATATAACATTCTTGTAAATAGACAAAGATCACTTTTGAACATTATGTAATATATGGGCTTTCAGACCCTGAGGTATTCCAATTTGTATACATATACATTTATAAATCTACTCTGCACTTAGACCAGCATGCCTTAGCTGAGTGCTATAAAGCGAGTGAAGGCTGATTGAACAGAGTTGAATGTAGTATGTGAGACATCACATTGCCTGAGAGCTGATGAATGTCCCTTCCTGTATGGACTCTTATGTATAGAACAGTAGATTGTGTTTGTTTGTTTTTATACCAGTGAGGGCTCCTTGGGCAGGGCACTGCCTGTGCACACACATTCATGCATATGGCTTTAAGAATACAAAAGTAATTTGCCTAGCCTCTTTGCGTGAGCTTGTCATATGATGGCAGTGCATTCAAGTGTTTCACCTAACTGTGGTATATGTGCGTAGAGTCCATATCAGAATGAAAAGCTGAAATATCAATGCTTTGACACTTACAGATGATTATCTGTCTACACATACCTACCATACCTACAACATATTCATGAGAATCAGCCATCCCTTGCCCACCAATAGTTTTGCTATGTATATGTATATCCATGCATGCGCAAATGTCACACTCGGTGTAAAAATGCATATAAGTACAGTATGTGCATGTGTTTGAACATTCCTGGGACTTACATGTTTGTGCATATGCAAGTACATGTATTGCCCTAGCTACCAAGAAAGATGGCAGCACACAGACAGCAGCGTTATTAGCAACTGAATATACATGTACGTGTATATCAGGTCATGGAGGAAGGAATAGACAGGTATAGTGAAAAAGCAGTTTCCTCCGCTCTACCTTGGAACTTTATGATACGTTATAGGGGTCATATGTGCTGTCCATCCTTAAACCATGTTTACATTGTATTTGTATATATTTTACCAAAAGAATTCATTTCAATTGTGTGGGAGTGACAATGACTACCGCCAAGAGAACCAGAGTGAAATATTTCCACACAATACATTGTATATTGTTCACCTTCCTGAAATGATGTGTGGACTTGGCTATTTACCCAAACTTTTCTCACAAGATTTTTTAAATTAAAAAAAATCAGTTGTCAGAAAGAGGACAGTATAGGCCTACATTTTTTTGTTATGAATTAACATCAGCTGATGCATCAGCAGGTCCAAATAACAGAAAATAAAGAAAGGAACAAGAAGGGTCTTCGGTAGTAAAGTAAATCCAGACTGTGTGTGTGGGTATTTGCTGCGCTTTAGTGTGAGGTGTACATGTATATATCTCCTCAGGTACAGTACTCATTTTCTATGTGTGTATAAATGTGTGTAAGTCCAGCTGGGCATTGTATAGATGCACACTTAATGCATTGGTTTTCCCACTCTAAATGGCCATACCTTCCATCCCTTGCCTGAATGTAGGTACAAATAACCATAATTAAATGTGCGTCCTTTGTGTGTAGCCTATTTCAACCCATATATACATGTGTATATATTTTTAAAAAGCAGTTGATGTAAAATCATTGTTCGTTATGGTGCAGCACTCTATGCATACTGGTACTTATGTTGTATTATTACTCTTATTAGTTGAATTATGCAAGATGCATGTTATGGGTTCCATCCAGCTATTATTGGTCGAGTCCTGTCACATCAAATAATCTTCATGTTTAATCAGTCACTTTGAATGATGATTTGAAGCCGAAGCGTGGTCTTCACTTCACATAAACCACTAACAAAGTTGTGGTCCTAGATGAAAATATACAATTAATGTATATATATTGTACTTGCGGGCGAAATCAAATTTGACGAGTGTAAAATCTTGGAATTGTTGAAAATATTAGAATTGTGACCACCCGTGAACAAAAAGCATCTTCCTTACATGACAGACAGGATACATCAGTGACTCATTCTTGACAAGAATAATTTGGGGCTTATAAAGTGCTTTTATTGTCCAGCATTGAACTGAATACATTTGGCCAGCAGGCAACTACATGTTAACATTTAATTACAGTTACAAGATACATTAACAGCATCGTGAGTAGGAATTGGTGCAACAATAACAGGCAATAATCTCCAAGATCAATGGTTAATAATTACATGTGGCGTTACAAAAATATTGGTACTGAACTGTATCACCAGGTAACAAATCGTGATTGTGCTTTCAGGTCATTCAGGGAAAGACTACACAGACAGCATAGTGTCTTACAATATGCCAGCACTTTGCAGACTGTTAAGTACAGAAGGTCTGTAAGTACAGAGGGTCTGTAACATGTGGATATCACCACACTAAGTCAGGCTCAGAACAAATGGCATCTACATTGTATTTTGTTTTTCATCCCATTTTGGTCGACCATGTGTATTCTCCAGAAAACCAAAGAGCCATTTGGACAAACCAGAAAAGACTTGCAACGTTTTCTCCCAATGTTTGAAGCTGTCATTATGCTAAGTGATTCAATTGTTGATCTGTGAACAGTGGAGTACTGTAGACTGCAGTCACGCTTGACCTGCAGCTTGAGTCTAAAAGTTACCTGAACTAAAGGTCTATATGTCAAAGCTGGTTTTCATAAGTACCAATTATATCTGAAACTAAAACTTGCATGAAATATGCAATAAATATGCTTTAAGTCATTTTTTTTAAACTTATGTAAAAAGCGTGCAGATATACATATATTGTTGTTGCAAAATGTAACTACATGTCTTACATAAAAGAGCTTGTATTTTGAAGAATATACAGCGCAGTTTGGTTTGCTTGCAAGAGCCTTCGTTACTAGCATACTGTCTGGTGGAAGACAAAAGTCAGTACTCATCCAATACACAGGACAGAATATGGCTAAGGTCATTAATAATGGCAAATAAAATATACACAAATGTTAGCAAAATGTAATGGCAATCAAATCTGACATGACTCTGTATCCTACTTGTCAGTCAGTGTCTACATTGAACATGTCTCTACACGCAAGTTATGGGTTGATTTCAAGGTACATGTCATTAAAAAAAGTACAAATTAATGGCAAGATAACGAGGTGTTCACAATCCCCAAGTAGCCAAAAGTCAAATGGCATCACTTGATATGGTAGAAAAAAAATCATGTTTTCAGTAATTTCTGAGACGAAAAAACCCACTCATTTTTCGGTTTGTTAAAACTCAATTCAACCAACGAAACTTGAAAATCATTTTATCAAAAAGGTTTCCATGGAATATTTACATTCTTGCAATATATACAGTAACATGGACAAAACTCAATACATATAAAAGCAAAATCAAAAAACATTTCTTACATTTTGGTGGGTTTCCTATTTTAAATATTAAATAATGTGATTAGATATGACCTGGCAGGCTGGCACACATGAAAGGATGGGTTTGTCAATACATGCTATATATAGCACTTCTGATGCAGTATGAGCAGCACTAATATTCACATCTAAGCTCATGATATAAACTTAACCACAAAAAAGAGCAACTCGCGTTTGGCTTAATTACTTAAAATATCACCTGATTAAATTGCGTAAAATGAATACTATCACTGATTGAGGGTATCATAATCATTATGACATTTTATATTAACTCCCACTGTCCCCTAAAGAAAGGAAATTCACATCACAGTGTTATTTAACAAGTCATAGTATGCATACCATTACAGCAATGTCATGTCACATCACCCACTAAACACTATCCCCCAAAATGGGGATAGTGTTCTGGCATTTTCAGTTGTGAAGAAATATGCATGATTACTATACGACCCAAGTTGCTGAATCACTCAAAGTTTGATAAACAACTGGTTTACAAACAACAAAACGTGCACTGGGACACTGATGCTACAAATTAATCTGAAAAATATCCCCTATTGTTGCTGCTTGTTACAAACAGGAACGTATGCTTACATGTTTAAAAACATTCACTTTGGCAAAGATTATAACCTGTAACCCACTTTAAACAATCTTTTTTAAATCACTACATTTTGCTTTCATCAAGTTGTTAGAAATTCTGCAAGTTCATGATACATAACAGCAGCTTCTTCATCAATGCTTAACTAAAAAGGCACTGATTTAGAACATGTACAACAACTTCCATACAATAGAATAAAGAGTATACCATCAGCAGTTTGGTCTAAGAAAAACTAAACATTCAACCACACAAATCAAAACAGATGTTAGGGGCAAAAATCACTGTGCTTTAGAAAATTAAAACATGTATAAAAAACAAACAAGTCCACTCTTTGTTGCAGCTGGATATCTGTCTACTTCTATACTATGCGGATAGTTATTAGTTTACCCTGTTTACCTTAAAATGCACAATATATACTCTCAACTATAAACGCTGTGGTTCTTAAGGACAGTAAAGTGTGTCAATAGTTGGTCACTGTCTCCATTATCAAACTATAGCAAGTGATATGTACACTATTATATACAAGTCCCAAGATATCGGGCAGTCAGCATGATGGAGCAGCTCTTTGTCCTCTTTGATATTTTTTTACAACAAACGATGAACCCTCTGTATCTACTGCAATGAATGCAATGTTGATTAAAGAATGCAATGTTGATTAAAGAATGCAAAGAATACATGTACAGGAATATCAATTAATCAATCTTTTTAAGGGAACAATTAAGTGCTTAGCCGATATACATTTCAAACCGGCTAGGGGGCTTGATGTGGATAACGGTCCGAGCCAAAGGTGAGGGCCATTATCTGCATCCAGGCCCCAAGCTGGTTTTAAATGTACTAGTTTAATACCAGCCAAGCACATATTTATTCCCATTCACAAATAACTTTCAGTCACAAATTCAAAATAAGTTTAAATAACTTTCAGTCACAAATTCAAAATAAGTTTTAAAAAAATCACACAATTTCCATTGATTTTGTTCAACAATTTGTACATCCTGTTTTGCGAAACACCCCTCTGGTCATGTCTATGGTATACATTGCATGCTACATACGGCACAGAATGCAGCAGTGTTACTGGCAGTTTAAAACCACCCACATGACAGGCTTTCGACCAATAGGAATGAGCAAACTCTCTCAGGTATTTATTAATATCGATTAACGTGTTTTCATCTTTCAATCTTAACATCATTAACTGAATACATTCCTTCTATGCATGAGATAACATCTGTGTGATCATATTGATCTGTTGCAAAAGCAAACAAACTCAAAAACCTAACCCCAATTAATCATGTTGATAAACGGCAAGTAATAAACATGATGGGGTGGACTCGTATACCTGCATGTGCTAGGTTCACATGTTCATCTATAGCTCTGAGAATTAATTTCCTTTGTGACTTTATACAGGTTTTGTGGTCCACATGGTCACAAGTAATGAAATAACAGTGTGATAACTGAATCATTACCTGTTAATGAATATGTTAAAGGTATGAGCCATGAACATTCATCACTCCCTTATGAAGGTTATTATTGCCTTGTAAATCTCACTTCATCACACTTGTATTTCTATTAAGGCCTAGAACACAGATGCTAGGCCCACCCATGGACAGCTGCATGCAATAAAATGTTATACTATCTGATGTATCAATTCATATTATCTTAACACATCCCACATGATAGTTTCCAGTTCATTAAGAATGTCTACACTAAGGTATTTAAGCAAAATGGAAAGCACATCATCTTATCCAGTTTCCTTGGAGAGGTATCTCTGTTCCCCCTTTAATTTCATTTTGGAGAAAACTACTTATTGAACACATGCATGTCTACTGGTTTGGAGACATCAAATGTACAATGACAACTTGACAGCAACACCCTTATTTCAGACTGGCATTCCAGAGTTAACTAAACTAAATTACTGAGAAGATTGGAATACATCAAATGATTGACATGTCAATAAAAAATAAGTACATAAAGTTTGACTGTCTGAAACCATACTGTATTTGGGTCCAATCGAGTCACTACTGGAACGCCAAATGGGATGACTCCTCATTCATCTAGATCTACCTACAGACAAGTGGCTTATCAGATTGTACAGCCTTTGTATTTCAAGCTTGTACTGTCATCCAGTAAGGCAGTACTTACCAAACGGTATTTCAGTTCCAACAGTTTTATGATGAGGTACACGTAAAGTCAAAGAAAACCTTGCTGCTGATTACACCCCATGTACATGTACATGTACATGTACTGGGGTTTTATAATTGATGCAATTATGATATATGCATGAGTCCTTTGTGAAGTCAGTTGTAGACTCATTTCCAATGTCTGCTGTTTATTTATACCTTGAGCTTCAAGATAATATATACCCTGCTCCATGAATGAACAGTGACTGGAAAGTGATTGTGATGAACCACACATTGAATGGATCCGCCGTTATTGGTGCATTCCATCAAATATTAACCCTGAATGCTACAATTCTTCTCCTGACTATTGTTTATCTTGAGACTGCTTTGTATTTCAAATGAAAGCACATTTGATATCTACAGGTAAATACAGGTGACATTTTGTCAGAGTTTTCGCTCAGACTTTAATAGTTGTTCTGAAGTTTCCATGTGAATGGATGTGGTCATGAATACAAAGCTATCACTACTACCCATTGATTTGTACTGGTTACATCACGTGATCAATTGTTCAAAGGTTATAAAATGTGCTGAAAATTTCCAGTTTGATGGACTGGTTTGGTAAATATATTTCACATGTGTATGTACATCGCCAACAACAAAAGGCATCCAAATGCACAGAAACGGTTCAATACTGCAGCTGCAACCTCATGCCTCTATGCAATGTCAGGGGTTGGTTTGACTGGTAAGTAATGTCAATTGGATGAGATAAGACTTATATAATTGAGATTTGTGGAATACCAAAGAATCGGCTTTATTTATATTTAATTACCTTAAAGGTGAATATAATTCTTCATCTGCTTTCCTGAGGCAGCATGTCCTGCATGTATTTCCATTTAATGCCGTCTGCTTTAATGGATCATGGATGTAATACTTGGTTCATGTAAACATAAGTCTTAATAAATCAGGTAATATCATTCACAAGAATACAATCTTGCTAATGACAGTACAACTGCAAGTGTTACACATTTGCATATCAATCATGTCAGGCATTTCTGTACATACATGTAAGCAATGTTCAAAGTTTAAGTGTATTCAATAGGAGCAAAACATTCTAAATTGACAGCTTGCTTACTGTACAACAGCATCCCCAATAAGTCTGGGAAAAAGAGCAGTTTATTCAACTACAAAGCAGCATTTGTACAAACAAAAGCCATACTGCGTTGTAACAAACATTTATACATTTTGTTTTATCAAAAAAGGAAAATTGAACAGCTAATAATTGAAAGAACAGACTGCTTGGCTTCACACACTCTCACCACATACAATTACATACATGTCTTGGACATGATTAGTCCTACAGCTTAGAAAGGAAATACAAAAAGGGTAGCAATACTATTTCAATTACATTTCAGAATCCTCCATGGCAAATGCCAGTGGATTGGCAGTTACAGTCAGTCCTACGTTGTTGGTATCTTGTAGTACTAGAGGTTTAGTCTTGGCTTTCTTTGTAGACCCACCTGTCTCTCTGCCTGTCCCTGCTAGAGGTTTAGTCTTGGCTTTCTTTGTAGACCCACCTGTCTCTCTGCCTGTCCCTGCCATTGGTTTGAATGTTGTCAAGATACTGTGAGATGGCTTGCTACCTAAAACCACCAATCACAACAAATCATTATCAATGGTTGCAAATATTCAGCTTTCAAATCCCAAACTTTTGGACAGTCAAATATATTTAAGTGTGTAATGAAAATGCCCCTTCTGTTGTTCTGTGTTGTTTTGTTGTTTGGCATGCTTAACCTTGATGAGTCTTCAAACTGATGTCTTGCATAATAATGACTGGCTAACAATTTTGTCAAAGTTGAATGTACAGTTGTCATGAAAGGCCAATTTGGTGATGCAGGGTGGCACTTGACAGACCTTGCAGAGGTAAATGCAGCCAGCATTGAGGTGAGTGGAAAAGTAGGCATGAGTGTTACTCAATTCAACTAACAAGATGACTTCATAGATTGTTGTTGATTACAAAGATTCTGATATTTACTCATGATGACAATTTGCTGGTTTCAATGGTTTTGTATGCACACCAACTTTCAATCAAGTCAGTCACTGCACGATTTGGGAATGGTGAAGTCCCTCAAACTGTGAGAAAGTAAAACAAAAATGGTTGTTGAGGATTGAAGAGGTGAGTGTAATACTGCCTACATACCTGTATGAGTAGCTGGGTGTGCTCTATCTGTACGACTCTGCTGTGCATCGTGTCTGCCATGCTTCTTACCTACAACATGCAACACAATCAAACTATTCATGTCACGTTTGTTTTCTTAACAAATGCATGAAGCTTATTAGGAATGTGCCGCCACAATATTGTTTTTTTTGCTTTCTGTTATGTTACTGTTTCAGTATGGAAATAAATGTACTACATAGCTGCCAACTTTTCAAAATCCCAATTAGTAATCAACCCGGGCGGTCATTTTCAACTTCTCGTTTTATCAAAAGCTTTACCAACATCGAGTACAGGTACATGGTTTACATGTACACATACATATGCATACCCTTCTTGTTGTGAATAATAATGTACTGTAGGCCAAAAGATAATTTAAAAAAAAAAAAAAAAAAAAAAAATTAAAATTAATTTTGTTTTAATGTCTGTATTTGTTTGTTGAAGTCAAATAAATAATAACAACAATAACATGTGCGCATATTTTTTTTAAGATGCATGCTATCGATGTGGAGTTTCGAGTTCGTATCATGTTTTTACACACAATGATTTAGGGCCACCGTATGCAATAGAAATATCCCGCCAACATACCTTGCAAACGCATGCTGATTTATCTTTTCTGGACGTTGTGACAAACTCAAACTCTATTAGCAATTATTCCAACCATACTCTTATTAAATTCCATGATTAAAATCTCGCACTGATGGGTCTCATCCTGGCAATAAGCGACCAAATGTGCTCACGATCGTCACTGAAAAGTACTCACATACAGTACACACAACCACACATCCACGAGATGCACACAAATGACACACCATTGAAAAATATTTGTAGTCTGGTCCTCAAGTACTCCACTGCGCACACTGCATTGATGTCTATCAGGTGCTTGACTGCATTCTTAATAGACTTGTCACCAGTCCATCCATTATCGCGACATTTCGCCAGAAGTTTTTGGTCAAAAACGATACTTTACAAGTATTTTTGGGAAAATGGGAAATTCGTAATGTTTTAGTGGCAAATCGTATTTTCGTAATTTAACAAACAATTCGTAATAATTACGAAAAAATCGTACTAGTTGGCAGCTATGGTACTATTGAATTGAAATGAATTGAAGCATGTTCTAGATTGCTGTTACATGCAGGTCGGTAAGGGTAATGTGCCATATATTTACTAGGAAGCATTCTGATCGTGTTCCCTGAATTTTATTTACGCACGTATAAGCGATTTTGTCGTGCGATAATGTCAAGTGCACAAATCAATGAAGGCCTTTACATTTATGCAACTTATCGCGCCATTTTTGAAATCAAATTTGTTCACACATGCACGTGTGCGACATTGTCGCGCATCAAAGTCGTTGCGACAAAATCACGTTTGTGTAAATGGGCCTTGTAAGCTGTTGAATGGCATGGTACCAGGCTATTTATGCATTGCAAGCCTCACTTTCAAATTTTTTTTTAAATGTGGCTTAAAACATTAGGGTATGTTCAATCACAAATTTTATATTATTCATCAGAGCACACTGGTATTAATGTGTAATTACTTTTTGTATTACTTTCGTTTCTATTCGCAAGTTACAAAAAAGGAATTTTTTACCTCGCTTTCAATTCAATATGGCCGACTCGTGAATAAGGCCTATATCTGATGAAGTCTCTCACAGAGTAATGGAAGTCGAGTATTGCTTATGCAAATACATGTATGAGGACATGTAATGGTTTGCTTCAATAAGTTCTGGTGGGCTTTTGGAATATTATTAAAATTCAACAGTGCATTCAATGTAGAAAGCAACATTTAAGTGTCTGTATTCCTACATGACATGTAGGGAGATCCAACTGCTGTACAGGGTGAGTAAAAAAATGCATTATTTTTTATCAAAGTCAATTTTCTCAGAAATAGAATATAGGTGGCCAAAATTTATTTTACCAGAATTATGTCACGGCTAATCTGAACAGATCATGCAAATTTCATTTATGTGGAGCTAAGCATTGCGATTATTTAAGCACTTGTTCATTGTGTCCTCAATTTATTACCGTTCCAAGTTTTTGCAATAGACACTAACCTACAGCAGCTGAGGGACAGGATTAACGTTGAAATCGCATCCCTGAGGAGGACACATAAGACCTGGCGGGCATATGAGACAACGGCCCAAATTGTGTATTCACCTCAATGGCCTTTATGTTGAAGGAAGAGCGGCCAGGCAATGATGTCAGGCAACCAGGATGCAAAGAGGTAAGTGGCTGTGCTGGTTATTTTCTGAGAAAATTCTATTTCTGAGAAAATTGACTTTGATTGACTTTTTTTAATCACCCTGTATATGGATGATGTCATGAATGGAAACATCATCATCATATTGTCTAATTTCCATCAATCAATTGTGACATATCACAAGATGTACATGTGCATTCAGGTCCTGGGATCCTGTGACCTATCCAAACCCAAGGCTACAGACTACCCAGATATATACATGTGTCTAGATTTGTAAGTGGATTTACCTGCTCTAGGATCTGTGACTGTGGATCCAATGACTTGCATGCCAGAATTCTGGGCTGCTGCTGCTACTGCACTAGCAAAATCAGCATCAGTAAAGAAAGATCCCTCCGAACTCTCACTCACGCTGCTATGACGACCACTGCTGGAGCTGCCATTCATAGACGACCACGAACCCAACATTGCATCTGACAAATATCAATCACAAGAAAACTGAAGGTAGGTATGTCTGCACTCTGCTGAAAACAGTTGTTCAAAAGAAATTATGCAAGAAAACTTTTTTTTTGTAACAAGAGATACCGGTAAATTGAACCCTAACCCCTGGGGTGTGTGAACAATTATTTCAAAGTTTGGAGGATTCAGGACTGTTAGAGTCAATACTTTTGAAACTAGGAGTGAAACTCAATGTCGTGAGCTTGGTGCTGATTACTTATGGTAGCTACAGAGTTGAATGCAACCATATCATGGAGAGTTGTGTTGAAAAGTACATTTTCAACTGATTTCAAATTGAAATAAAAGTACACCTGTGGTGGATTTTCTCAGATATCTCTAAAACAAGAATGTGTGGGTGAGGCATATAACAAATATTGCATGCTTAACTCATGGTATAGTCAACTAACCTCCTTTAATGATCTATTGAGTGTTCCATTTTCCCTTGGCTACACCTCAGGAATATAGGACGCTCAATTGATGGGAGGCTAGTTTGTTTTTATCCCTCAAAACGAGCAATATCTATATACTGAAAGTGCCGTGTAAATTAGAGCAAGGACTAAGTGGATGTGAAGTATTTCATTTCCTTCAAGCACTCTTGATGTCTAGATTTCACTCTTTAGAATATGTTATGTGTTCAACAGCCCAGTAGTTGATGTTTACTTGTAGACTGTCAGCATACCTGTACAGGAATCCGCTGACTCAGTGTCATCTTCTGTCTGTAGCATGTGAGGCAGTTGGTTCCTATTGGCCATATAATCACCATGATTGGCATGTAAACCTGCAGATCAAATGCAAACATACAGATTGAATGGCCAATCAGACACACACGTATAATTTATGTCATCAATTAAAACTAAAAAAGTGAAACGACAAATACAGTTTGATTAATAGGGAACATTCACTTTTTTTTCTTCATGGAATTACAATTTCACTGGTGAAGACCCTTTGACATGCCTTATTACTAAACTGAACATACCACCACAAGGGTGCAATGCTTTACAAGTCAGATTTGTTTGGGGAGGTGAGTGATACAACAAAGCAATGGTGTGGATTCACAATAGAATAATGTCTGCCATAGGGACCTACTTGGTTATTGTATCATGGGGAACACTGTGTATCATCATAAATGTGCTGCTTGGTTTACTACTGGTTGATATCAAGGTCTTCACACTTCGTTTTTACAGCTTGTTTTGTTTACATTCATTGGTATAAGACTCGTCTTATTTTGATTTGGTCAGTTCAGCCAATCAGGGACCTATAGTCATCCTGAGTGTCCTCCGTGTACATCATTAATATGTACATGTATAACCTGCCCATGGTACACATACATGTAGGCCATAAAACAAAGGACTGTTACACTGAGCTGAATGTTGAATAAGTGACTTTACCTTGGTCTGCATTCAGAGCTGTTGCAGCTGATATACCAGCCATGTCATCATTATCAGAGAGTATCTCACTCTGTGACATATCATCATTGAACTCCAACAACTCCTTGCCGAGTTGCTCATGCCTAGGATCCTCAAAGAGACGCTTTGAAGCTAGGTAGGGTACCCCCCGTTGTGTGTGATCAGGATCTGAAGGCCTGTCATGGGTTTTACTATGAGGCTGCTGCCTATGGTCAGCAGGGGTGCCACTCCTATTACTGTCTAATTGATTGGGTACTGAGTTTGTCGGCAGTGGTTTATGTGCTACAGCTGGTAATGTATGCTGCCTATCACTAGTACTGACTGGTGGTGATGAGCAGCATTGTCTGAGTGGAGGTGTCGGTCCTTTCTTTTTACTCCGTTCCATGTCCTGACGATTCTTTCCATGATCCATATGTGGATTAGCGTTGGCATGAGAACAAGGTGGGGCTGGACAGGCTGATCCTGTGGGTGAATCTATGTCAGTTGGTGGTTGTTCAGGGGGAGGTGGCAGTAACTCTGTCCAGTTACGTGCTGGTTGTTTGGATCCACCTCTGTGTCGTTTCTTTCTACTAGCACGATCACCTGAATGACAAGGTTAAAATGTCATCATTAGCAATAATAACATGCAAACATAGCACAAAACATTGAAGCTTTAATTAATACTTGTCATCTACTGATACAAGGAACTGATCAACTAGTCTGCAGGGGCTTTACATAATAAGCACTGGGTATCAAACCACATCACAATACTTTTTTTTGGATCTTTCATGTTCCATATGCTAAGGGCAGCCTTCAATATTGACTGTTCGCGAGGTCTGCGAAGTTTGCGAACTAAATTTGATCCCAAGTTAGGAGTAAACATCAAGCTCTGCAGGTTCATTTGCATCGCATGACAATGCGCCTTTGTTATGCTAAAACTATGCTAATATGCTACAGCCGCTGAGTTCCCGAGGTGCGCGAACCTATCATATCCGGAGTTCGCGTAATCAGCTACCGGTCAGTGCTCCGGTAATATTCAGGCTTTGTTGCGTCGGCGGTATTTGTTATTAATCAGGATAAGTACCTTTGAACAGCTACTTTCAACAAACAATTACTTTCGTTAATTTCATGAGTGAGTGTTTTTTTGTCAACGTCACTCTATGCCGTTCATCAAAGATATATTTGATAGAATCAATGATTTCGATTGCGTTACCTCATCACCGTCATAAAGGCTATTGTCGAATTTTTTAGAAACAAAGAGCAACTTTTTAACCTGATTTGTGATCCATTTTTCCGGCCAAAAAAACTTTCAAAATGGTCTCAATTAATGGCCAACTTCCCGTTTGTTCCACCTTTTTTCCGGTTTGGATCGGCATCTGGACGGAAGTTCCAGTGATCCGGACTGCATGGCTTCCCTGCACTCAATATTTTGAACCAGCGGAATGGACTTACCTGTTTCGGTTCATTTCTTCAACCATGTTTTAATAGCATAATACCAGATTTTAAGTTCCAGCATAATTTATATCATCGTCAAAAACTAACCACAATGTTATATTAAACTGAAGAGAATCGTTTTTTTTTACGTCGCCATCAGCATTTGGTGTTATTCCTCAATCATTTTTAATTCGTGTTTTTACATTAAGTTTTTCCCTACAATCGTGTTTCCTTCAACTAAATTTTCAACAGGCTAGTGCTTGCGCTATATTTTACCGAAAAATATTAGGAAGTTGTCCCAATATCCGTTAATGTTTTTGATCAACTTCTGCATTGAAAAAAAAACATCGATATTTCACGTGCCACTTATCAAAACCTTTCGCCGCTCACGCTCGCGAACATTAAGCTCTCAAATAAACCCCAATATATTTTGGGCACGCATGTTCGCTGACTTCGCGTTATTATAATAAAAATCTGGCTATATACATATATCAATATACCTTGTTGCGTTGAGCCTCCGCTGCTGCTGTACGCCCCATTATCAGCAGCAGTATGACGCCCTCTAGCGTCTATCCTAGCAGCGCTATGAGTACTTGCTGCTGATTGTTCTGATGATCCACTATGACTACATGGCGGTCTCATGTCAACCATATTGGACGGCATGATCAGTGTAGTGGATGCATAGGGTTCAGTCACATGAGGTGGTAAGGAGTTACTAACAGTCAGTTTCTCTTTGACATGTTCAGGACATCTAGGCATGGGTAGAGTCAGCGCTGTATGAGGTCCATGTATCATATCAGCACCATGCTCATCATCATCCTCATCCTCATCATCAGCATTATCAACTACTGCATACACTGGACCACCACTCCTGCAGGAAACAGAAAACATACCACTTCAATGCCAAGTTTGTCAGTCATTACATTCCTTTGCTTATTTGCATTTAATCGAAACATCATAAATTTAAACCATTATAGTATACGTGTACTAAAGGAAAAAAATAGCACAAAAGAATACAGACAGGACATGGTTTGAATGTGGATGGACATGTGCCTTTTTTAAACAACACTCATAACAAAACAATTTCATACAAATAGAATATATCAACCTGTGTCGTTTTGATAGCTTGATAATTGAAATGTATGAAATATTGCACTATGCATTTAAGAAACCTTAACTTTTCGCTGTCTCTAAACAAATGTCCCGCCCCAGAATGTTTGAACCAGTGTTTATTTGTATGTTTGGCAGTGCTTATGGCCAATCCACAATGGTCGACTGTTCCAAATGAAAAGCAAATCATGGTGTATCTATGGACATGCAACTTGTGAATTAGGTACCAGACTACCCACCCATAGCAAGAATGACTAGGATGATACTGGTGACATCGTCTGCCATCAGGACCAAGCTGTTGTGTATCATACTGCCTCAGGGTACCAGACTCAGGATCTGCAACACGTACATAATGCATGTATACACAGCATTACTAAGGAATAAAATCATCAGAATGACACATAAGAGGATAGGTGGTGCACTCAGGTAGTAGGCAAGCACTGCAGGTTCCTTCTATCAATTAGCGTTACCAAACTGCGTGCACATCTCATGGAATCGCCTCAAATATGGCTTCTTATTTTGTTCGCCAGACTACACAATACATGCAGTTCAAAAAAGGCATTTACCAACCTTTTGTCATCTATGTCTGAATAAATTCTGTACTGCATTCTAAGTGCAGTACAGAATGACTGTGCAAAGGCATTTTGTTGTCTGCACAGACGATCAATCAACCCTCATTCCCTTGGCAACTTTGCTAGGAACATTCCAGAACTCCCCCTGAAGTCCACTCTGTATCAACTGACATACTCACTCCACTTAAGCTTTCAAGGGGCATTCAGCATAAACCGATGCTGAATAATGAACACTGCTTTACCACACACTTGGTACAAGCATCATCTTTGGTTTTTGAATTGTATTGATAATCACTCTATTAACATGACCAACACTATATTAACATTATCAAACTATGCTCATTGTAGTGAATTCTTTGCAATGTTTTTTTAAAGTTGTAAATAAGTATTTGAAGTTGTAAATAAGTATAAGTAATCGAGTACGGAATCACCAGATTGCTGTGCTTTATGATGAATCAACTTTGGCTAGTGAGATCCAGGCTACATGATGAATGGAATAGGTTAGCGGGGATCAAGATCATTTCCACATTATGCATATCTGCTTGTATGTATAGCTAAGATGGCATGCTAGAATGTTTGCAATGATACGCAGGATACAGCATGTTTATTATAAAGCATGAACATATTTCAATATGGATAATTCCACACATACTTTTTGTGTTGGAGGAGTTCATGCTATGTACATTATCTTGGGTACATTTTGTTCTCCAGGCAATGTTACTTTCATAACAGTGAAGCTGTTAAAAACCCTCAGCCTTAAGTTTTGGCCTTGGTCAATTCCAAAAGTGAAGGCATTTCACTACAAAACCTAGCCTTACAGACCAAGCTTCATGAAAAATGTAATCTGAAATATAACTGACCATTTCCCAGTTACCGTTTCAAGTTTTGACCCCAAACCACCTCCAACGTTTCCTTTCTGAAGAGCTACTAACTTTTGAAACACAAGCTTTAATCCACACACTATTTGGATATATTTATCAACAACGTGACCTTGACCCTAAACAACCTGTATACAATTCAGGACAGTTTCTCCAACAAGTCATAAAAAATATCAGAGAGCAAGGTATCTGGACCAAGACCATTTCAACCCCAAATCAATGCTAGCCCTTTTCCTATAGCCAACTCAAGAAAGTTACTCTAAAAGCCAAGTTACAACAAGGAAACCATTGCTTGAATTTCTCAACTTTGATCTTTCACCCCAGTACCACTCTCACTTTTTTTCCTATAACTATGATTTGTCATAGTTTAGTACCAGTTGCAGCTTACTTCCAGTTTTTAGAGAAACCAAAACCGCATCTTCAACAGCTCCGGGATTTGATTTTAATATACACACAGGAGGATATATAATGAAATGGTTGTCAAGTGGTGTAGGGCAGATAGGAAGGTATAGAGGCTGGTTTGATTTGCTGTGCAGGACTGGGAATGAAAAAGGTGGAACAAATGGGTCTAGAAGGATGAAAGGAAACCCAAGGCAATACTTGTTACTCAGATAGCTCAAATACACTCTCAGTTTTATATTGTGAATTATAGAATGCCTAAATAAATCACATTCATCTGATTGGTGGGACACTGATCACGTGTCATTGAATTACTCGTCCCAACGCAGGGCCCAGCGGCACCACAAAACTAGAAGTTCCAGTCCACTGTAAATAGATGTTCCATTGCACAGCCACATTTATGGCAGCTCTGACCAATCAGATGACAAGGATTTATTCAGGTGTTGTAAAAAACAAATAATGAATGTTTGACAGTCGTGCAATGGAAAGAATAATTTCATGAGGTGACAGATGGAATGTTCCATTTGAACATTCCATCTGTCACTTCATGAAATTATTCTTACCATTGCACTCATAAACATTCATTATTTGTACGTCATGCAAGGGAAACAAGGCCAGTCAAACTAAAACTACTCTATTTGTATAACAGACACAAAGCAAGAATGTCATTAAGAGAGGAGTTTTTCATGAGAGTTAATGGGTTTTCTAGATAAGAATGATAAAATGAAGTTAGCGCACCGTAAGCCTCCAGCAGCCAGTATGCAGTATTGTTAGGTTGCAAGTATTCAGCTCTGCTGAGTGAGGATGAAGCCGAGCCAATAGGAATACAAGCCCTATTACCATGGTGATCGGATGAATCTGACAGCAGACCAACAGTGGATGGTAGAGGGCGCTGTGCTGGGTTGACCCAGCCTTGACCTCGCTGTAAACTGCTCTGCACACTGCTGTGATTGCTGGGGATGAACTGACCAGAACTGCCTATACCCCTACAAGAGAAATGGGCCCAAAAAGAGTGTAGTGGATGATTGCTGCATACACCATGGATGATGGTTGGTGGTGGACTGGCATTAAATATTAAATAAGAGACATTGCATAAATATATATAAGTCAATACTCACCAACTTCAAGCAAGATAAGGCTACATTTTCATAGTCTTTTTGAACTACATGGTTATTGTTCCACACTTTTATGAAACTGAAGAAGGTGCATGTGCATTCTTCCTTTAACACTGATATTTGACGGAAACCTGACAGATTGTCAACATGATGTATCTTGATATGGTGGACTTTTTGACATAATTTCACCTGACCTTAAATTTCAACTCACTACATGTGCCTCCTGACCCAAACAAATGGGCAGACACTTATTCATCTCAAACCATTTACGTCTAATATGTATATTTATAAAGTGATGATTTACGGCAAAGCTGAGTAACTTGTAACCTTTTTGCTGAAGATTCTTGACCGAAGTTTTACATTCCACAGTATTTCAAACCAAACTCCACATTCATACCAGAACAAGCTGAGATAGTAGCGTGGCATGTTTTCCAGTGAACAATTGATTGAATAATCAGTTTGTTTGAACCAGCAATGTTCCAATCGGTAGAAACGTTCCACTCAATACATTGATGTACAGCAGCTCCCCACATCATGATGCCATCACTCAATGAAACAGTTGACTATTTAGGGTCAAAGGTTATACTTACATATTATGTGCAGCTGCTGCATTGTCTCTGCTGATTGGTCCTGCAAGTAAGCAATCAACACTGCTGTCAGGTATAGAGCAATGATGACATTACAGTACGGTATGACATTGTTTTGAGCAGGTTTTGTACTTGAAATGCTTCAGAGTGCATATGACATTGTCTTAATTCAATTTTGTCTGAGCATTTTTAGTGTCTTACATGCATTTCACCCTCTCTGATTGGATCCCACAAAATGAGTCTCAGACATTTTGTTGTTACTTATGTAAGTTATTACTGCATAGTAAGTTACTATGTGCACAAATCTGTAGCGTCTTTGTATGGCACCAGACATATTGCAGTAATGTTTTACTGTCTTATACTCTTCTCACTACTGTGTTGGACTTACAGTGTTAACACATTCTCATTCAAACCAAAACCACATAGAAGCAAGCAAACCTCACCTTTACTGATATTACCAGCCAGTTTATACTGCACATGTCTTCTCCACACAAAGACGGTGATACATAGTAATATCAATAAGAAGAAGACAGCCAGGCTAGCAATGAACCATGGTTGAGTGACAATACTGCCATTATCTCCCATGACAGAGCTATCATCATCGTCTACGTCACCTCCTCCAATCACGCCTCCTGCACAAATAGTTAGGTACAACAATATCAATGCACAGTGGCAATTCACAACACCCATATTCCCTAACTGAGGTTACCATATACATTTCACAATACGTATTCTAAACTTAGTTGGAGCAGCTAACAACGTAGGTACTCCTTGACTTCATGTTGAAGCTGTCTACATGCCGTATGTGTGTTACAGTCAAGTCCCTCACAAGTTCTTTCTTATGTAAATCCTGAGTACTTTCACAAGTATAGAATGTATTGGCTACATTTCATTTGAATAGCTGGTGACTTGAATTGAAACTGAGTGACTTGTGATGGCATGACTACAACGCTGTGTGCACTGTGTATTATTTATCTGATGTTTGCTACACAGCTCCTGCTACTTTTTCTTTTTGAATTGTACATTTTTAATTGTTAACGTTTTTGTTAACTACCACAAGGTGTTCTTGCCACATATGTGATCAACACATAGTGACTATAATTAAAATCTTTACGATGTAATTATTTGGAAGTACAAAATAAACTGACATTATGATTTATTTGAGGATTTCAAATAAATAAATCCTACACAATCTAACACTACGTAGGAAAGTGATGGCACATTTTTGTACTTTTGAGGGGCATCAAGTGACAGTGGCTTGGCTGTAAATGCATGAATTATGACAAGTGACAAGCTGCTGATGGATTGTAAGGATCTAGGATGGTTAGATGTAAGATACCTGCAGTGATGTATACAGGCTGTGCAGAGCTTCTAGGTCCTGCGCCGGCTGTAGTATATGCTGCTACTTTCACCATGTAGACTTTGCCTATCAATAGCCCAGTCACACGCACAGACCGCTGGTCAGCTGGACAGGTTACATTCTTGTGTAATGCAGTCGTGTTGGCAAGGCAGTACACATTGTATCCAGCAATCACTCCTTGGACTGTGCTTGCAGAGGGAGGTTCCCAACTGACTAGAATAGCTGCTGTGCCATTAGTTACCACATGAACGTTGTGTGGAGCACCAGTAGGCACTGGTGAAATAAAGAAAGAAAAGAATAAAACAGGGATTAACCAGCACCGTTTGTGACCCAATCCAATGAAACAAGCCAGACCTACTACAGTCGAGCCCTGATAGGAAGAGCACTGTTAACACAACATCCTGCTTATAACAAGCAAAATGTTAGGTCCCAAGTCTTTGTTTTCCTTTGTTTTCCATTACTGATAATACAAGGTACATAACAAGGTAATTTGTAAAGTCCCAAGGACCTTGTTATCAAGGTGTTCGACTGTCCTGGCACTAAGGATGGTCACATGCTATGCCATGGGGACTGATACATTCTGTAAATGAGTGCCCTCAATGTATTAACAAAAGAAAGGTTTATACAACCAAATATATAACACACGCAGTACCTCCAAAAAGAGTGTTAGTTACCTTGTTAAACTGTATTAGTGATAAATGAATAGAACTGAATGTATGACTGACCAGCAGATTGAGTCTTTGCATCTTGATGGGTGCTTTCAGGTCCTAGATACAGACCATTAAAGGGCTGCACGCTGACTCTATACCATGTCCATGGTGTCAGATCAGTCAATGTCTTGACACTAGATCCTGTTACTGTCTGCATGATCACATCATTGCTATCACGCACACTGTACTTGATGTGATATCCATCAATGTACGGCTCATTCTTGCTGACCTACAAACCAATCCAAAGAATATCAGTGTAGAAAGAGATTGCATAGAATCAATGAATAATCTACATATGTGGTTACTGTTACAGAGTGAACACACCTATAAGTATTAAGTGCACACCCAAGTAGGGTAATGACAAAGATGCAAACAAGGAATCGTGACACTATATAACAACAAATCTAACAACGAATCTAAAGTAGAATGGAAGAGTTTCTGAGATTATTGTGATAATGGTCATAGGAAAGTCATGTTCAATGCACTTTCTTCTGAATCCCAGTCTCATGATATACGCACACATTGGATATTTTTATGACAAAATTCCTCTGTAGAATGCACAAAAGGATCAGAATAAAATTGGATATTCAGACGCAACCAAGAAGCTAACTACTACAGTACTTGACACACCTGGCCTTCTGTGTCAACTACCTGATCCTAGCCTGGTGTATTTGCACTGCTACCTACCCTCCATGTGATCTTGAGTGAGGTAGAGCCCACAGCCTCTATACTGACTATTGATGTACCACAGGTATCCAGTTTGCCTTGAAGTACAGGATTATCAATGGGAGATTCCTGCAGCTGATCACCTGTACAAATACAACACGCAGACATGGTCAGCCATGTCAAGCACGGACTATCGACCATTGGGTGCACCAGGCTTTGCGGGAGTCACGCTCAGGTAGTACACATGCACTCCGGGCTCCTTTGACCAATAGTGTTACCAAAATGTGTGCCCACCTCGTCTTTATGATCCAGTGCGGCATGCGCAGGCGCGGCACCACCAAAAAAATGGCTTCTTACTTTTGTTAGGCGAATTACACTTTACCCACACCTCATGTGCAGTTCTCATTTCTCATATCGGTACATTAATAAAAGACACACTGTCACAGTTTTTAACAATACTGTACAGATAAGGCATGGTTTGAGGGGAAGGAATGCAAAATGACTGGTCCTGAGGCATAAGGTGGTGCCGTTAGCTCCTGACGCGAAGGGGAGAGGGGTAGTCAAAATCTGCCAATAATTTGGACATCAGAAAAGCAAAGGAATTCCTAATTTGCTTCTATAGTTGTTTTTCTCTACAATGATTGATGAACCAGTAAACATTTACGACTGTTTCGGGTGGTGTAGAAAAAGTAGCCTCCCTAGGTGCTTCATGGAGGCTTATATTCAAATTCTATTTCAATGTGAAAAAAATTGAAATTTATTTGCACTTTTCTAAACTACCTGCAGATGAGATGTTATATCGAACTCCATTACAAACAAGAAAAATGCAATGTGCACACAGACCGCTGGCTGCTAGGTTGGTTGCTTAGCACATAGCGAGGCGCGAGGCAGTCATTGTATAGTCTTTTGGGCCATGGATGGCAAAATACTAAAACCAGCAAATACCATGAGACTTGCTCTGGGCCAATCAAGAGACAGGTGCAGACTTAATCAAGTTTTGAGCTTCATCACCAAAAAAATGTCCTGAACCATGTCTCAGTTGTTACACCTACATGTAATGGGTTAAGTAGTCTCACTTCATTTAGAATGAAGCCTAATAGCTTATCATGCATTCCTACCTTGACTGAGGGTTACCACACTGACTGCATCAGACTCGGGGCCATTAAATCTAGAGTTGAATGGCTGTAGAGTGATGGTATAGCCGGTATTTGCCATCAGTCCGGTGATGATTTTATTGGTTGACCCTAGCACTGTCTGCATAGTGAAGCCATTACTGCCAGAGTCAGCATGATACTTCAGGTGATAGCCTTCAATAAATTCACGATGCTGCCTCACCTACGTAGATACACATCACAACAAGTTTACATCATATCTCACACATTATGTATCAATCAATTACAAACAAAGAATCATTTATCAAAACCATGTGACTGAAATGTCACATACAAGACCAACCAATGTGCAGGGTTTGGAATACTCACAGGCCTGAATACAGCATTCAAACCTTGTATATTAGTCTTTGGAGATATGATTTCAAGTTGTCAACCCTGATCAGTGCCCTTAATTGGAGGCATTATCATCTATAGTCAAGTTTATTAACAACTTCAGAAAGTCATCTTGAAATCCACAAACAGGTATTTTGGCTTATACAATCACATACATGTATCATACTATAAAACAGGAACATACCAACAAATAGTGACCCTTTACAACAGGGCCCAATGTCATGGCTCTGCTTACCGTTACCCAAACATCCCTGCTTATTGTAGCAGAACATTTCATGCTTACGGTAAGTGTATTTCACGGGTTAGCGAAGAATTTGGCTTCTGCGCATGCTAGCAAGGTTAGCACAAAATGGTGATCAGAAGAGCAGCAGAATTCTGTGGTTAGCAGAGCCGTGAAATTGGGCCCAGATCAGCAGCATAACAGGACAAGAGTAGGTAATGGTTGGAGTGAATCGTGTGTTGCAGATGCAGTCAGGAAATCAGACCCTGGATACAGTGAGTCCATATTGACATGGTGCTACAAAGCAGAAAGTACCGCTACGCACATCTAAGTGCCAAGCAAAATATACATCACATTTGCTCAGTAAATATATTCTGTGCTTAGCAGATTACTGTACTTATAAGCTGAATGAAATTGCTCCCTGAACTGACTGCAAGATTGAACAGAGTACCTACCTCCCATAAGACCTTGACTGCTGTTTGGCTAAGCACCATAGCATTAGTAATCTCCACTCTGGTTTCTGCTAACTTCTCCTCAATCAGTGTGGTTTGCTCAGAAGGAATCGCTGACATATCATCTGTTTAAAATAGTCACATCCAAATACAAAAACAAAGGAAATTGATGAACTGCTTTCTTTCATGTACACTGATCCAACTGACCCTGTCCCATGACGATGTGATCGGTCATAGCTGTGACTCTGACTGTGCAAACAATGTCTGACACGATATATACATGCACACAAATGCACACAGTGTCAATAATAGTGACATGATGAGGGTGAGATTCTTACCTCTGGTTGTGATTGGCTGAGAGATGCGACACGCTGGACCAATAAACTTAACCATACCAACATGGACAAGTTATAATAATGACATGATGAGGGTGGGATTCTTACCTCTGGTTGTGATTGGCTGAGAGATGGGACTTGGTGGTCCAATCCCTCGATCATTCACAGCTCTGACCAGAAACAAGTAGGTAGTTCCTGGTCGTAACTGCTGAACCAGACATGTCTCCCCTATGCATGGAGTAGGTACAATCTGCCACTCTGCGATAAAATAACAATATCCTAATAACTTGACCTTTATCGTCATTACACCAAACAACTCAGTTGAGACAAACTTAACAAATCTAACTGTTTTCTCATCATGTGGTGTTTGACTTTCTCCCAAGTTTGTTTTTGTAAGTTTGATTTCATCCAAGTTTAATAGAAGCAAATAGTTATGAAGAATTCAATTTGTGAATGAAGATTACTTTTATACGCATGAGGTTTTGTTAAAAACGGGAACTAAAGGCAACTGTTGAAAACAAGAGAGACCAAACACAAGGGGCAAAGGGAAATATAATTACTCAAATCAATCAATGATAGCGTACAGTGAGTGTGTGGGTTGGTTTCTGCATTCAACAGGGGACATTGAACAATAGAGGACAATAAGGTCCACAATTCCTGAAGGTCCACAATTGACAATTGTGTACAAAACATATGGGTCTTTCTAAAAAGTACAAACAAAAGAGGGGCAATAGGGGGGGTCCATGGTTGCAGGTGCTCATGGGAAGTATGTGACTGACCTTGTGCTACTTCATGACTGAAGTATTCCAGTCTGTAATGAGTAACCGGTGATAGAGGTGGGGTAGACCTACTAGGAGCTAACCATCTCAAACTCAATGCTGTCCTTGTGATATTACTAGCTACAGGTTGACCAGGAGATGCAGGCAGTTCATGAATATTAGGAGCTTGCAGAACAGGAATACCAGATGCTTCACTTCGCTCTGTTCAAATGTAAGATATAACCCAACAATCAGTATGTGTGACTGGATCCCATCAAATGAGTCCAAAATCCCTAACTTCACTCATTTTTTTTAAGATACATTTAAAAAAGTGCATTTTTAGTTGTCATTTTAATATTCCATGGTGTAACAATGGTTAAAAAAAAAAATTAAAAGTTGTTATTTGTTTATATTCTTCAAAAACTGTTTACGGGCCTGTAACTCAGAAGTAGCTCTGGTGACTTAGTGCTGATTTCATCTGGTTGAGCCATCATTGTGATGCTTCTGCAATTTTTCTAGTTATGTCAATAGCTGCTAGTATTCTATAAGTATATGTTGTTACTATGAGTCCATACAAACTAAATATAATGGATGTGTCAGTGAAAAGGCTGATGTTCGTTAACAGGTCTACACAGTCTTCCATGTCAAACAATTCTACAACAATCCAAGTTCTATCTTACCAATGACACGCAGATATGCTCTCCAGCTAGTCTGCCCACTGCTATTGGTTGCAATACAACTATACATTCCCGAGTCCTCCAGGAATAAACCAGATATCTGCAGTCGTCCAGTGTCTAAAACTGTGAATCTGAATATTCAAATCATATCTTGATTAAATAAAGACAGATTAACTTTGATAAAAGTTGAACTTACAACCCTCCAGAATAGTGTAGCACTCTACCAACTTTGCGCTGTCACCCAATTTGATCAAATCTGGGGTTTTTTTACCCGAAGCCTGGGATGAGGCAGTAAGGAAATAGAGGTATGATAGTTCCTTGGTAATCATCTTTGTAACATGAGTTACCCACAAAAACATATTTATTGGGCTTGTTGTCACAACAAAGAGAGATTTTTGGTGACCGTTATGGTAAAGCAGAATGATACTGTAGAAATAAACTGCATGGCACTGTCCAACACAAACAAAGTCACTTTCCCTAACCCCCTAAGGATTCCTCAGGACTACCCTGCTAAATCCAACAGAGTCCAACGGTTACTTCCTGCTCAATCCAACAGAATCCAACTGTGCCTAATTTTTAGTTGTCTGCTGGATCCAACAGAGTCCAACTTGTCCAACTCTATCAGTACGCAACAGAATATGACTCTGAATATGTACATTTGTACAAGGGGTTTACTGCTCAATCCAACAGGCTCCAACGGGCTTACGATATAGTTGGATCCTGTTGGATTCAGCAGGGTTAGTGTTTTAAATATCAAAACAATTTGCTTTTATATATTGAGAGATTTGTTTTAGTTTAGATGATGTTCAAATATGAGACTCAGTTCATTCTGCTGTCTTTGAACCAAATACCAAATTGTGACATATTGTAAAGCATTGTGTTATAATAGTTTAATAACCCAACTCATTCCTATGAAGTGGCAGCAAGTATTATGCCTACCTAGCATCACTGGCTTGTAATGGTGCTCCGTTCTTTGTCCATCGTACACTAGGGGCAGGATGACCTGCTGTTTCGCATGTAAGTAATGCTACAGTGCCAACTATCAATGTCTGATTGCTGGGGCCATAGTTGATAATGGGTGGTGGCTGGCTTACTGATGCTGCAATAAAACACACACAATTAAATTAACTTGTCAGTGAAACAAAACCAACTCGGTTGAAATGCTGATTGTCTGCAGACACACTGCAGACTACAGCCAATCCAGTCCGGGCAGTTTCTGGTCATCATAGTCACTATACGGTCAGAATGATTAAAACATTGAAGCATCAAACCTCCATGTTCATAAAGCACCTAAGCTGATATTTTTCACTCAAGACACTGGAAATGTTGGAACCAATAAGGTCCCCTCTATTGAAATTGTTTCAGGCCAGAACACATTCATTTATGCATAAATTTCTCATTGAATTATTTCAAAAAATCACGAACAATGGCAATGTTTGCACAAACAGAACGCTTCCCTCATTGTATTAGTAAGAATGATGATACATGATATCCAACCTATAACTCTGAGGAATGCTCTAGCTTCAGCCATACTGGATCCACTATGAGCTGAGCAGACATAGTAGCCTTCATCTTCTTCCCTAACATCGCTGATATGTAACTCTCCGTTGCTAGTCACTCGCAAACGACCACTTTCCATGCCAATAAACAGTAGCTCCTCCTGAAAACAATCATCCACCATACCCACAAGCTGAGTGTATGCATGCTGGCTTAGTGCTGACCATAATGGCCATTTACATTGTAAATCAAATGCTGCAAAATTCTAGCAGGAAATCCCTAGAGAATCAGCTGCAGCTGAAATTCTGTCCTAGAAATGTCTATGCTCAAGCCGATGATGATGCGTAGCACTCAACATACAAAGGATTCACTATTGCTATCTGCTTAACTCAACTTGTAAATAATTCAGTCGGGGGATTGCTGTGATCAATTTGACAGACAGCATGAAATACATGAATATCCACCAACATGGACTGGAATGTTCACCCCCTTCTTTTCCCTTTATCCCTTATACTTGCACAGTTGCATGGAAATACGAATATATCAGTATATATTGGTTAATTGTTTACTGCATGATTATTTCACCTTTAGTAAAGAGTAGAAATAAAACAGATTTCCTGAAGCAGAAACAAAGATCCAGTAATAAGAGTTCATGTTGGTTTTACAACAGTGGTCCACATACATATATGTAGATCATCAGTGTTTGTGGTTTTTTGAAATCATATATGCCTTGCTTTCTGCAACTCACTGCGCATTTAGTGTCAACACAAATGGTCAATTTGACATGTGCTTTCTGTGAGTGCTATAAAACATGCTTGCTAAACAATGAAACACATCAATCACTGAACATATCATGTACATGTATTTGTCACTGAAGCATGTTTTAAATTGAGCTCATACAATGACCACATTCAAGAATTCTGTCCTGCTGAGAAATGCTGGGTCACTGCTAAATAAGACAATAGATGATATTTCCCAAGCTACGTAAATGCATGAATGCAAATCCTGTCCATTGATTTATCTTATTGATATATCTTATCCATTATAAGAGGGTAGATATGACACAGAGACTGAACGGCTACCTGGCTGCCTTCTTTCTTCCAGAAGATTGCTGGTGGTGGACTGCCTGTAGCTTGGCATTGGAATGATGCTGTGTGGTGGAGCTCCACAGTTCTATCCACTGGTGCTTGAGTAAATGTGGGAATCACTGTAACAACATAACATCAACAGTGGTCACGTCAATGTGCTGTCCAACCAACGTATGTACATGTACCTTAGTAGCTGGCTACTGAGCATGAGAAAAAGACAAGACTGGAGACTTGCTAGGACTGATTCATTAGGATGTAGAACTCACTCCTACGTCCAAGATTTACTTGAAAAATAAAATCACAATTAAAAAAAAAGCTAATATTTTAAATCAACTTTACTTCCATTTAAAGAATAAAATAAAATGCATATTTTTCATTTGAGTGGGTGATGATTGTAATACAAATACCTGCTGCAATAATTATTTTGTAAAAAAAAAGATGCATCTTGAGAGGGGTATATATTCTTCCATGACTGTCCAATTAGACCAGAGGTTACACGTATATATGCTCCGTACTGTTACATGGAAACCATTGACACACAACATACTAATGTGAAAAACAAGACGAAAGAGTGTTACAACTAGCAAGGGAAATAATCATTTACAAAAACTTGCCATACACTGGACCTAGAGGCATGAAGTGTTGAGTGCAGTACTTAGATGTGCATACATTATTGAATTACAGCTTGCATGTTTATTGACTTACCACTAACAGTCAATGTCATATCATCCTGCATCCTGCCATTACTGTTGACTGCTTCACAAATATACACACCTTCATCATCTTGAGTTACCTGACGAATACGTAATGAGTTGTCCTCCAGTATAGTGTATCTGAAGAAGTCAGAGAGAAATAAAGGTCATCAATACGTGTACACTTTCATTTCCCCAGGATAATGAAGTTTGTATGTAGAACAAAAAAGTAATAAGGGTGATGTCGGTAACAAAACCTCCATGGAAACTGACCTGGTCAAAGACAATGGATCAGTAACCACGGCATATTTCCCTATCTAGCTTCCACTGATGTTCTCTAGACTGACATTTGTAGAGGCCCTGTCCAGTTGTCATGTCTAATGTTACTGTCATGCAGCCACCCTACTCACCTTCCCATTGGTAGCTCACCACCTTCTTTGGTCCATGTGACTACGGGGACAGGATCTCCAATGACTTGACAGCGAATCATGACTGTAGTTCCAGGTGCTACAACAGTATCTTGAACGGGAGCAACCAATAATGGTGGTGCTACACACACAAACAACACAACAAATCATTTGTTTCCATCAACATTCCAAAAATCATCAGATTGTCATTACGTAATAGCTATATTATATCCCGATCAATGGCTAATATTGCCTCATTTGCCTGGTCCAGTCATCACTGGCTATTGCCTGCCCTATTCAGCAATGGCTATATCTCATACATATTCATGATTCAGAGCTGAATTCTCACTGGTCAATTTACCATCACGTGTTACCCGCTAGTTTTGCTGTTTACCAAGCGCACACTTGAGGTTTTACACACAGATTGAATACGCATGCCTAGTAGACTACAGCGCTAGTCTACTACACGTGTGCTTTACGAAGAAATCGTGGAACCAGCGCCAAGGGGGTAGTGGGAACGTGGGAAAATCGCCCTAGCAGCATGTAGCACCTACATGAAAAGATGCCTGCCCTATTCAGCAATGGCTACTATTGCCTGCCCGTAAGCAATAACTACTATTGCCTGGCCTTTAAGAGTAAGGTTTGCTTTTGATAGACTCAATCAAGCTCACGGAATATGTACATGTACATGTACTACACATGTAGTGATGTCCCAACAAGCACAACTGATTTCGGACTTGTTCCCACTCTCCTTAGAGAATACAGCCAGGTATGTTTGGATTTTGCCAAGTGAGAACGCAACATGCATAACAGCTGACGTGTCTCAAGCAAATACATGTAGCATGACCTGAGGTCACTTGGACTATAACATGAGACCCAACAGTCCAGGCAGATTATACAAAGGTTAGCAGGGATTCCTTTGCCAAGTGTACAACAGGAACATCAATCTTCTCCAGATTTCTATTTTTTTGCAATGGTTTCAGAGTAAAAGAGCTTAAATATTTTAATGTGATATTAATAAGCAAATAACATTGACACACTAGTTTCATGGGTTTCTAGAAGACTTATTTCCTTGGCATGAGATACACAGCAAGCCTCAAATGAACTGTATGAAACACTACCACAAAAATGACCGAAGTAGAGAGTTTCAAGACACTGACATGTCTCAATTGATTACGTGCTAAATTTGTCCAAGGGTCTGTTGAACGGGTCACATTTTCCATTATGGACAAACACCACCCTTGCATTTGTTGACACAGCCAGGCAAGCATAGAATGACTTGACCTTCCGTAATGAATGACCACACCTACCATCAGTATTAGGTTGCAATGTATGCAACACAGAGGACAAGCTGCAAAGCACTGTGGCAGTTATCTGCTTGTGCAATGATACACATGTACAATGTACATGTACATGTACATCAAATACATTTTAACGTGAATTTAGTAGTTGTTTAGTTCAAAATCAGTTGTCAAAGTTATCTGTAGATTTCATTATCAGGTTTGCCATTTTGGCCTGGTCAAGCCCCTGCCCCCCCCCCCCCCCCCCACATAAGTTTTGATTTTTTGGGGGCACCCCTTTAGAGACCCATTGTCCGCATTGAATGGTAATTTTATAGTCCTCTTGCAACGTTAAAAAACCCCAAGCGTTTTGTATGTTCCAAGACAAAGCATTCACACTCTTTCCTCATTCAGGACAGATTTGAATTCAGTCAGACAATTTGTATGGTGTGTATTGCTGAATGTGATTATGATGACTATTCACTCCAGAATAGCTTGGGGCATACATGGTCTAGTTAGTATACAGGCAGGTGTATTGCCTTGCTGCATGCCTCCCATCTCATCCATCTACACACCATCACAAACTACTACACACCTGCTGATATAGCCAATAGGTTTCCACACAGAAAAGGACATAACGCAAGACAATTTATTTCCATTAGAAAAATATTGTGCGGATTCAACCAGATTTGATTACAATTTCTTCCACGAACATTCAATATTTTCCACATTGAACGAGAATATTTTAAGAACTGACGAATACAGTATTTAAATCAGGTTTATTGTGGATATTTGAACGAACTTTTCATGACTTGAAAGATATAACATGTAGTATTTTTATTTACTTGTGTACATATTTATATATGTATTTGATTGTTCACGCATTTCCAAAGTATAACATACATGTACATAAATATTGAGCACAAAAACCAAATGGCTTACAAGATTGAATATTGAAATTAACAGTGAAAATTTATGATAGCCTGGACAGTGTAGCACAATAAGAAGAAGGAGATTTTTTTTTTCATTTTTAGGTGTCAAAGCTGTCATTTAAAAACATTATAGAATTTTGCATTAGGGAGATGTTACATGTAGATGTACATGTACATGTATAAATACTCAACCCAAGCAAGCTGGTAAGCTTTTCTTGCAAGCTCTTACACAGTATGCAGTGCTAAAAAAGGCTTGTAAAGGGCAAAACAAAATATATATATTTAGAATATTAATTGAGTTGGATGTGTGCTGGTATTCAGAATAAGTCATTCATGGTATGGTGCACATGTACAGGTGCGGTAGCAATTGACATGTAGATAGAGTCTACAGTATATCACACTGTAGGTGAAGACAAAGACAAACTGATCAACATACTCATCCTCATATTACATCATAAAACATTCATTTACAGCACTACTCGTTCCCTGTCTTATTGTGAGATGAAGCTTTGAAGCATTCTCCTCAAGACAGAGGACAGAACAAATGTCAAGAACAATTCTCATCTCCACTTCTTCTTGATCAAGAGTGATCAACTCCATGGTGTAACCTACATGTATTACTTATTGTTCCTTTGATTTTATTTCTGCATAGGCTAGACATTGCATGTATACATTTTTTGTGTATGAATTATGTCAACAGGAAACAACCTGCCCTACATCACACCAAACAAATTTGTCTTGTGATCAATTACCTACATAGATGCAGGGAATCAAGTTGATGCACAATGAGGGCACACTCACATACGGTATGGGTAAATGATGACAAGACTGCAATCAAGCGTAACTTGAAAGCTTGTGTGCAAGTAACTGCACAAGTCTGTCCAGCACTAATACGATATATCAGGCCTGCATTTATCTCAGGTTTCCTTTGGCATGAAATGATTGAGAATATTCCTATTCCCCATGTGCTGCCAGTCCATCACAGGTTACTCCCTGGCTAATGAGAGAGGCAAGGGGGAGGGTGAAGTGGCTTGCCCAAGGACACAGCATATGGCCAGCTATTCCAAACCCTGCCCTCTGATGATGAGTCATTCACCACTGAGGCCTCACTCCTGCACACTGGTCATGAACATACAGTTTGCCAAATGACCAGCAGGTCAATAAACAGATCTGACATAGCCTGGACATTGCATTGTCATACCAATGAAAAGTTGAGTGGTTGCTAACAATGCAATGAAAAATACATCACAAAAGGTTGATGGGCTTGATTAAAAATCAGAAATTATTGAACTAGATTAGAAAACTACACTGTTTGGTAGTTTGTAGTAAAAACACTGTGTCTGTGAAAACAATGTTATTCCTAACGATAAAGAAAGGATATACATGTAAATGCAGTATGTAGAACTCCTTACAATCTGAATAAAAGGATGAAATAAACCCAGACATTTACCCTTGGAAATGTCCGATGTCTGACTGTACTTTTACACTCTGAAACGACTCCTCAAAAACCTACATGATTATTGCATTGCTGACTAGGAATGACATAAACGTACCAGTGCAGTGATGTGGTAATTTGCAGTTGAAATTGGCAAATGAGATGTGACAAAGAAAGCTACAGTCTGCCTTGTAGGACTTCCTTAGTGACGGAAGCAATTACCTTTGACTGTGAGATGTGCAGGCTCAGTGCTTCTGGATCCCATCTGGTTGCTAGCTGTACACACGTAACTGCCTGCATCACTCGCACGAGACTAATCCAAATAAAGCAAAGCAATTAACAGTCATTTATCTAATGGCCAACTCAATGTCAAGACTATTGTCATGTTTACCAATCAATATATCATTCTCTGCCCCATTATACGGAGACACCTGCTACACATTACAAGGCGTACTGGATAAACAGCACTCCACTTAGTTCAAAAACATCATTTATCTCATCATGAATTCATGCATGCATACATGTAAGTACATGTAGTTTTCTAAACTGGGTTAAAATTTATATTATATATTAAATGTTTTACCTTGGAAATATTATTCAAATTTGAACAATTGGGTTCATATTTCCGAACACACATAGAAAATATTCATTTAATATTCATGTCTAAAACAATACCTTGAAGATTGAATTGCTTATGTCTTAGACCCGTGAAAACATATAATTGACATTTTGCTGATAAGTCTGAACAAGTTCAAGAGACACCACTAGGATTGCATCTTGCATAGATGTACATGTACATGTAGAACACTGTCCAATGAATGCGCATTTTGAATACTGAAATAATGATCAAACACTATGTCAGAGATCATACATGTACATGTAAGGACAAGGATGCTCTGTCATTGCCTGACTCTGTAAGAAAGATTGAGGACGTATTAAACTAGAAAGTCCCCCACCTCTGCCCCTGCAGGATCCAGACTGCTTTCCTACCTGTGATATCATAAGGTTTCCATCTTGTAGAACCTTGACTCTGTCTCCATCTACAATCACATCTTCTCCATCTTTGCTCCAGGTGACAGTGGGTTCTGGGTAGCCTCTTGGAGGTTGACATTCTAACACCACAGGTTCACCAGCTTCTGCCTCAGTTGATACTGGTTCCCGCCGAAAATCGTCTTTGATATCTGCACAAATGCATCATAACAAGTACATGTACATGATACATCAAGGAACTATGTCAGCATGTAAATGTTATTTCAGTCTATCAACAGGCAAATTACGGCATGTGAGAAACGGATTGACACAATATAAACCATTCCCTCATCAGTGCAATGTGCAAACTACATGCATGAACATGTAGGTTCAGAATGAAGATGCTAAGGAAGACTTCAGTGCCTAATTGAAAACAAAGTAAAGGATTTATGTAATTGTTGATTTTTAATGGATGCTAACTTAAACTCTCAACAACTAATGCACATTAAATACTGCACATGATACGAAACCAAACCCAACCTCAATCACATCATTCTGATACTTGTTACATTTCTACAGAGCCAACTTGTGATGGTATGTGCCTTGCAACAACATTCAAAAGAAAATTGCACAGCTGTCATAATAAGAACAAGCCAATCCATCACAATGACAAGCCAACCAGATCACAGATAGCTTAAGACTTATAGACCCGTCTTATTTCCAGTAGACTGACAAATGAAATTTGCTGCGCTGAAACTGCTTCAATCAACATTAAACGTCTGCACCAGGCCAACCACTAGTAGCTACATGCATGTACATGTAGGTGTAGAATCAATACACAACCAATATTCATCTTATATTCTTGGTCAATGGACAAGCTACATTCACATGTATAGTCGGTATATTCATGCAGCTGTAATCATGGACATTAATCACATAGATCTATCCATTACGGTTACTTTGTTTCTTTTCTTTTTTTCCCTTTTTATAATCAAGTAGCTACATATTTGTAGTTCCATCTTATGCCACATATATTCTCTTGTATTGATTCCTTTCACGCTTATGTCCTGAGCTTATTATAGACAGAAGATGTATGACCTGTGAGGATAATCTTGTATGGCATATGTGTCTTGAACTTTTCTCCCTCTAATTGAGTGAATCAGGCTTGACAAATGGTCTTCTTCTGTTCCTGAGGTGGATATGTGTGAATTCCCAAGACGGATTAATTTCTAATGCTCTTGATAAAGGCCTGGCATCCATTTGCACAGATTGTGATTAATTTGAGTTAGTGGCATGAAGGCAGGATGCTAGACACAGGGGACCATGGCTAAGTGTTGTCTCAAGGCAAAAGGCAAATTGATTTGCTGTGCTGCATGTACAGCTCCATAGGCAGCAAATAGTGATGAGGAATAAGGTGAAGCTATTACTACACAGCAGGAAGTCTATTGATTAGCTACTGAAGATAGACTGACCCAGTCTGAAGCATGAGAAATAAGACAGATTACTGCAAGCATGGCAGAGCTGCATGCAAACACTCTCCACATTCACAGCAGTCACAATTGTGTCAAGAGCGTGACTATGACAATTTCAAGAAAGCATGTTACAAACTGTTTTTCAAAATACATACATGTAGGTTTCTATGCAGCACAAAAATGTGTAATCACTTTCTCTTTTGTAATAAATGTATACATTTACACATAGGGACAGCGTTCCATGCATAATTCTAGCAAACTGGATGCTTTACTTACAAGTCACTTCCAATGTAGCATTATTGCTATAAGTATCTCCTAAGTAGTTGGAGGCCACGCATTGATAGGTTCCTACATCAGCATTGTTGCCTTTACTGTGAATAACACGTAGGAAGAAAAGTTCTCCTGGATTCAGCATAGAGCGATGTCCATCTCCTGACAATAGATCCAGTCTCTCACCATCCTTCAACCACTGTACAGACACAATCAAAACAAAACTCATTACAATGTATCTTGTATTATAGTTTGTTACGTTACATGGATGAAACAAAATGAACAACGTCTAATATCAACATGAACAATGAAAATTCTGGTTGATCTTTTGTTTAACATTTGTTGAATTAAGGACCTATCAAGGCAACTCAAAAGTAACTTGTATGACTTCTGTAAGTGTAAGCCCTGATGTTTTTTCTGTTAAATTAAACTTTTCAGTAGACTTGTATCCGTTGAATAGAATGAATAAACATGAGCCGGTGAACGCTTTGGTGTTTATGTAAATTATTTCTTTCTGTTAGGAGCCATGGTATGTGCACGTACAAAGAGTTAAATAGTTCTTATTGTGTGTATCTATGCGATGTGTGTAAACGAAGACAGAGATTGGTTGTTAGACGGATGGGTCGTGATTGCCGGGAAAATTCAAGAAAGACAGAACGCTCAGAGCTGATAGCGATCGCACTGCGAAGTCGCCAAAATTGCGATTCATTTATTCAGTGATCTTTAGTACAATTGATTTTTGAGTTTTATGGTTCGTTTTATGACGTTTTCGTTAACATATGCATTTGTATTGCACGTGAGAGACGTGTTTCTAAGATCAGATTTTGATGGCGTCATTAATTAATACATTAGTGCATTCGATTTCAACATATTGGAATTTTTATTTAAAGATTACGGAAGAACGTTCAGAGTTCTGGTTTTCTTTTTAAAAATTGATAAATCACAATATTTTTTTCTTGAATAAGATAGTCGTATTCTGAGACTAAACAGGGGTACATTTTGAAGGCTTGTATGAGATTTATTTTGAAAGGAAATGTAAAGCTTGATTTAAAGGGAAGATGCAACATTTGCAAACATCACAAAACGAAATGATCAAAGTATCACAAAATACCTTACTGGATTGTTCTGAAATGACAGTCTAAAGCATCCTGTAAAATCGTGGCTCCTGGTGTCCTGACATTTTCAAGAAAAATTGTATTTTTCCAACGCTGGTCGGCCGACCAGCGCTGGAGAAAACTGTTTTTTTTTTCAAACACTGCTTCTATTTTTCATAAGAAGTTATTCTGCGTTTTCTTTGCAATTGATTACAAAACTGTGAAGGGGTACAGCCTGCTAGACTGATTCTCTGACCTTACAATTCCCTAAAGACTATAAAATCCTCCGTTTCATCTTGAGTGGGGTCAGGGAACCAGACTACAAGAACATGAATGGTTTTCTTTTTCGAGCATCTACAAGCCCAAAACGTGAAACAAGTTATTTTAATAATATCTGCTATAACATACTAATCCTCCAAATCCATTTATTTCTGAAAATTGCAGCAAAAGCGAATGTTGTACATTCCCTTTAAAGGACACAAGTTTTGTTGTAAAACCCCGTAGAAAGTTTTGGACCTTTTATTAATATTACAGATGGCTCATTTGTGAGGACTTATTGATCCAGCTGACAGGCTTGTCCGGGAAGGACATGGATCCTTACTAGTATAGAAGGACATGATGGTTGTCCCCCCCACACACACCGCACCCAAGGCGTTGTGACCGGTCCATCCCCCCTCCCTACCACCCGTCGATCACAGACGACGGAGAAACTAGTGGCACCTGCAACACGGCAGGCCAAGAAAATGCCCAAGATCTGGCCAAGACCAAGAACAAGACCTGGAGGACGAGAACACCGAGAGATTCTCGCCAAGACAAATAAGTCAAGTGTGGTGGGCCCATCACTTTGTTGTTAAATAATAAATTTGTTTGTTGAAAGGAATTTTGATTGGCGATTTTGAGTCAAGTCGAATTAGTACATGCATTGTGGTTGAATAATTGTTTCACCAAAAGTTGAGAGAAAAGTGCTATTTTGATTGAAATTGTTGAATTGTTGAATTTTGTAGAAAGAAAGAAAGAAAGAGGAAATTTCACTTGATTTTGGTTTGGATTCGAAAGATTTGGATTTGAAAGGAGATACATGTAGCTTGTGCACAAGAGGGTTATTGTTTTATTATTTGATTAAGGAATTCCTATAATTTTTGTTTTGGTTTTATATTTCTATTAATTATTGAGTAAATTTAATTTCACTATTTAGATTTTAATTGTTTGTTTATTTTGGTGTTTAAGTAATTAGTTTATTAAATTTCTTGATATTGATCAAACGTGTTAGTTTTGTTTCCTTTGTTTTTCAACCTTGTCTTTAGAGAGAGTGTTGACAAACAGCCCGAAATTTGCAGCCGCGCGTTACAACTTCTACATATCTTCCTCATTTCCATAGGGTCAAAACAGGTTGCAAAAAAATATAATTGTTGAAAAAATAAGTGATCAAAACAAATCAAGAAACTGACCATTACACATGTAACTGCATGTACCCATATACAAGTCTCTGCAGGTGACCAACATTGATTATGTAGCCCTGTGTCTCCATGCATGTACCGGGTACCTTATACACGTAAGTGGTCTTCAGGATTTTTCATACCTACAAACTTCAAGCCAAGTAAAAGTAAAGTACATTTGTAAATGTTGTGATGTGGAGGACTGAACTTGTGACATTCACTATTTTATGTACATGTACCTCAACAAATTGGATTCCTCCTAACTTCACTTGAAGTACGTAAGCTGGTTTAGCGTAATGGTGCGCCCAGTATTCAGACACAGTATTCGGACACGAAAGTGCTCAAACGAAATGTTGTCATTCAGTTTTTCTGCACGAAACTTAAACAAATTTGCCCGGGTAAAGTCTTCTAACTTTAAAAATTAGAAGTAACAATTATATTGAGCTGAGAAACAGAGGAATCAGCCTAGCACAGCATGCACAGCATGAAATGCCATATTGACAGGCATGACTTGCATCATGGAGAGTTATAAAAAGGAACTTGATAAACATTAAAACCTAGGAAATCACATACAAATCAAGTAGAACCATAATTTGTTGTTGTTCCAATCGATGTTTGCTTCATATTGTTACTCGTTGCTTAATATGGAAAAGCACATGTGCATTGATCAGTCGATGTATGGTCGATGCATATGACATAATTGGCATCGCATAGCCCGGCCTCCATGCATGCTAGTGCAGCTACCGGTAGTTTCCAAAGCAGACATTTTCCTGATTATTTCATCCACAACCTCCTTGTACATACATCCCTTGGCAGGAAGTAATGCCTATTGACTCTACAGTTTGGATGTCTCCACTACCAGTTCCTGTTTGAGCAGTTCAAGTTGCTGTGTACACACACACAAGTCCCTAGCACTGTCTAGTCTTCAGCAGACAGCAACTCTTTAATCTTACCTAGTAATCCTGAGCAAACACATCAACAAGATACAGTCAGCTTCCCAGCCTACCTCACAATCAATCACTCTTTGGCCTCAATTATCATCCTTTTTCATCCGATCGTGATGGTAGATTACTTTCTTAAAATATCTTCATTGGGCCATATAGCAAGTTTCTTGCTCTATGAACGGACATGTACATGCATACATTGTATACCAATACATACATGTTTATAGAGGAGTTCCTTAAATAAGGGAAATAATTTATAGGAAAATAGCAACAATGAACTGAGCAGAGAGCTCCCTTGGAAAACAGCCTGAAGAAAAAACAACAACACACAATTATGAAAACCATTTATTAGACCAAGATAACAAGGCACCCTTGATTTGCCTCAGGAATCCTTCACCAACCTATTTAACACCATGAACATCACAGCAGACAACTATTGCATGGACATGTACATGTATGTATGTAATGACACGGACATGGACATGTAATGACATAGACATGTAATGACATAGACATGTGCAACATTGTATGATGTCTTTGATCATGTTTCCAATCAAAATGTCACATTCTACATATTTCTTAAAACAAAAGTAATGATGTTGCGTGTGACAAGATCACTTTCAAATTAAAACCCCCTCATTGAAAATCCACATCTGCTTTGTTATAAATGCTAACTGCAACTACGTATGTAGTCAGAAATGAAAGAGTACTCATGATAAGATGTGATATCCTTGCTGGCTTTTCACATCTCACTACTCTATAGCAATGTCCCAAATTACCATACATGCTAGCAAGCAAAGCATCTTGCTGGACAATAAAGACCAGCCAAAATGCCTGTTACCTATGGCAACCAGGTTGTATAGTCTATTGCTAAATACACATCCAAGGTCACAATATACACAATATGCCATCATGTCAAAACCTCTATTCCGTTTATGCATTCTGTCTGTCATCAGTACACTACATATCACATGTGTATTGTCATGTACAGGCACACTGTCTATACCTGTACATGTACATGTTGCTACATGTAAGTATCTGTTTTGACTCTACATTAAATATTTAGAAACATGCTAGATGTTCGGAAAGATTGAGATAAAAATGTATTATTTCTTCATGATATTGCATGCATCTTCAATAAATTAAACCGCAGTCATCAGTATTTTGCAGTGACTCAGCCAATGACCCAATTTTTATATTCCTGCCTGACCACCCCACAGCCATCAGGGAGCCTTTCTAAGCATAAATTTTAATAGAAATGCCCAGCTTTTGGATGAATATTGTGGTCAGTTTCAACTGCAATGTGAATAATGTAAATGATCATAATCAATGCATGCTCCATTTGGAATGATCCATAGACGTACCATACATTCTTGGAATGTTTCTTTGTCTCATATAAAAATTAATGTTCCCAGGGCCCCGTGACAAACATGAAGGTCACATGATGGTGCACAAATGGACTTATATCCCAGATGAACCAAGTGCAACAACAGAGGAAACCTACCATTTCTAGGGGATACAATCATGCATGAATTCCACACATTTCTGAGAAACAAAACATTGTCCTAATTTGTTGTGTGCTTCCCAGCAGCAGAAATAAGTGTATGAATCCAGTTGACTGCAAGGCTTTGTCAGTTTGAGTCTATCATGGGTTGAGTCACCATCTCTTCACCACTTTCAAATGGAACAACGACTCTTATACAAAGATATGCCCGTTTCTACTCAATTTATCTCTGGTCCTACAAATTCACAAAGTCAGAAAGTAGACATGAATGAAGTTTGGAAAATTGGATTATTTCAATTTTCCAAATGGAAGTTTGTTTTACCACTTATAATTCCTGTTCTCAAAGAAAAGCTTAAAAGTTGGGGGAAAATGAAAGGGCTTATTCGGGCTACAGAAACATGATTTCATGGAGAAAAATACCATTCTTAACTTGATATTTTTATCATTATTATTTATTTCTAATAATGAAACCAAGAATCCCAAAGTAGCTTGCAAGCCAGAAGAAACCTGAAGACAGAAGACAATGAAGAGATCTTAAGTTAATAGGTGGGAGGAGTAAATGCTTTCTGGAATTCCTTTCAATTGCAGCACCTTCATTATTTCAGCGACATAAATCTTATGCATTGGAATTTCTGAAGCCACATGTCTGTTGTTAGCTGCAAAGTCTGGATTTGAAGTCACAGTGCAAGCACAGTGGAAGTAACACACATGATCAGAAGCAATTTCCAGAGAGATTATATGGGAACTGTGAAATCAGTAGTAGATGACAGATAGCATAGGGATTCTGCAAGCTGGCGACACACAGGGACTACTCTCAGGTCAGCTCTGCCTGTCGTCAGTTCAGGGGCTCACAAAAGCCAGGTTGTAATTATCATCCAGCGCAGAAACTGGCTGGTAAATAGGAATAACACACAGGAATAGTCACCGTACATGTACCTTTACATGGCCAAATTTGCCAGGCAACTCCATATAAATGGGCAACAGAATTTTTACAGAAATGTAAGTCTGTCCATGGAAAGACAATAGCAGGAATGCAGGAAGAAAACTATTTGAAATGAGTGCGGGTGAATAAAAAAGAAAACGCAATTCATAGACCAAACATAGAACATTGTATCAAGTGGCTAATATGCCAGCAACATAAAACCCCACACACACCTTCACAAGCATCAACAATACATGTACATGTAATCAAGATGTACATGTATGTACAAATGTATGTCAGATATTAGTCTAAACTTTATTCCCAAATGTATGTAACTTTACATGTACATTTGTGCAATGTATGTTTGTTCAATATCACACTGCAGGCTGATGAAATATCACAAAAAATATATGTAAACATGTATAAAGCATACAAAAGAACTTCTGTACGTAAGTACCGGTACTTGAAGTTCTGCAAGTCTGAAAGAGAAAATCCAACCATATCTAGGCGTCAAAGGTCAGCGACTGTCCTCTGTACATTGTAGCTGTTTAGTTAATCATCAGCAGGCTACAAATATAAATGTTATGCCCCAAGAATGTAGCATGGGGTCACCAGAAGTCCCCCTGGTATGAGAGGAGCACTGAACCTGTTGACTTGAGTGGGATATGGAAGAAGCACAAGTCAACTGTTGATTGAAATTGCTTATGGTGTGCAACAATTAACAAGCACAGCATGGTCTCAAGAAAACAGAGTATCCATGCACTGTTTGCATTACAATCAATGGTAGAGCACGCTGACTTCCATCCAGGCTTTTTGACCTTTCCATAAATTCATCAAAAAATAGGTTTTACCTGGAATGCAAAACTCTCTCTGTTTTTCAACTGAAGTGTTAGGCAAGAGACTTTGGGTAGCGTAATCAAAAATGCATCTCGTTGTCCATTAAAATCTTTACTTCTTGTCTTGCTATAAATGTATGCCAAATGAGCGAGACAGTGATATCATCTTAACCAGTTTGCATCTGAGGACGTGATTACATGCACTGGCTGTTTTTATACCCAGGCACGGCTGACGGGTTAAGACGTCAAGATTGCCTTGACTCACCTCCGGTTGACGTCTAAACACGCTAATCTCTCGTGCCTTTTGTGCACACACACAAAGTCTGTGAAGCCTGTGGAGGCAGACCGTGCGCTGATCTTCAATTGACTGCTGTGCATGGCCTATTGTTGTACATATTATAGTATTGAAACATGTATGATGTTTTGGCAAAAAATGTGGTACAAATACTGTTGAAATGACTCTTCCGAATCAGTAATTTGTGGCATTTGGCTGTACATCAGAAGTTGGCTGGAAATTTTGCCTTTTGCAAAAATTGAAATTTGATTTTTGGCAAAAATAATCCCGGCACTAAGAGGTTCAGCAGAAATTGAGCTGCTTGACTGGGCAATGTGTGTTTATATGTGTATCTGAATTTTGCATGCCAAGACAGAAAGGATGCAGGAAGATTGAAAATAAGTACAGATATTTAGACAGCAATTAACAAGTTCATGTCGGATGACATGTACGCAAAGGTTTTGTGGTATTCGGAACGGATGACAGATAAACACAGTAACCAGTGAGGCCAGAAATATCCGTCAGCGACCTGCTTGCAGCCAGTGAGGCCGGAAAATATCAGGGTGTGCTACCCGCAGATGACGGCCTGAACCCGTCTGGCATCAAGGTTCGTAAAAAAAAAAAAAATCTTGGCTCTGGGTCCAGTCAATGTTAAAATTATCCCGGTGCGAACTAAGTGTGAATATCAGTTGTGTATGTTGACTTGACATCTCAGCATGACAAGTCCATAAGGCACGGTCTGATCAAACTACTAAACCTGTAATGAATCAAAAGAGGGGGGGGGGGGGAGGTTGTGACAACGGTCCACCGGTGAGCTCTGAGATGGTTTGGAAAAAGGTCTGTTGTTACATCTCATCAAACAAAAGGTTTCAGTTACTTATTTCTTACCATTGGTGCACAAAATACATGTATACTAATTTTAAGGCAACATCCGGTTGCACAGACCAGCTGTACAGTGAGATAGCGGTATGTCTTCAGTTGTTCCATAGCTCCATGGTTGTACAATGTACGTGTGCGAATACAATTTGAACCTGAACAAAGTCCTCTTCAAACTGAAGTGTGCAGGAAGACACCCACAAAAGTATCTAGTTCACTCCTCTCATCTGTCAAGTGGCTGATTCATAGACTGGTTGAAGGCCTGACAGAAGACTAGGCTTTATAATTGAAGGCTTGTACATTAGGATGAATAGTCAGTATCACTTTCACACATAAGTTTACGTGTATACACATAGGAACACATTGCTAGATAGAGCAGTAAGGCCTTAACAATGATAGAATAAGAATAGACAGACCAAGTGTTCAGCATGTTACAGCAAGCGCTCTTGAAATGATCAGTCTATAATGTTAAGGGTTTACAGAACCGTACATCCTTATTAAGTTTAAAAAACAGACAGCTGATTTTGACTTTCTATACGTTTATGAAGAAAAATGTGTTCCTCTCTAGAAAACCTTGCGTTTTTGTTACATTGAAATGAGACATGTTGTTAATTGTTTCACAGTATAATTTGGCTTTAAAGTCCTATGATCTTTTAATCAAAATTGGCAAACTTAAATGTATTACACTATACATTCATCTTAGATGCCGTCGCCATAGCCATGCGCGTCGGCAAAATGAAATAGTTTTTTTTTTCTAGGTTTTTTTTCAATATAAAATGATGTCTCAAACCCGCCAAACTCACTGGTTTGACTGGAATCCTGGTGCTTCACAATTTTAACGTGTTTTTAGATGGGGGTACGATCGAGAAGAAGCTTTATGTGGCCTCTCTGGACTACCATAGATTTTGCAATAAATTTAGTCTTGCACCATTTGCAGTCATCAGCCGACATTTGAAAAAAAAAAAGTAAAAAAAACAGTTAATAAAAACGCGTTTTGGGGCAAGCTCCATACCAGAAATTGGAGACTTTTTGGGGGGCCTACATGTAATTGGGCTGCCACAGGCGGGCAAAATGAAAGCTATTTTTTCAGAGGGTTGCAGATGACCAAAATTAGAAGCAAAAAAAATAGGTTTTTTTCATAAAAACAAAAGTTAAAAATTGAAATTTCCCAAGGAAAAAAGTTCTTTTGGAAGAGCATGGGGCAGGCATCTTTAAGTGACCCACCAATTTCATCAACGTTTTGTAATGGAAAAAACATCTTAAGAGATTAATTAAAAACAGGATTGATTTAATGACTAAATTTAAACATCTGAAATTGGTATGTACAGTTTGTATCTTTACGTCTTCAAGATGAATTCTTGAATTAAAAAAACTGATTGTTTGCACCAAAGCAGCCCCTCGTACTTTTAAACAATACTAGAAGAAATGTGTGCAGTAAACTCTATTTGAATCAATTTAATTAAATAATAGAGCAAGAAGTACTTAACAAGCATTCTAGATGGATCAAGGCCACTGATTTCAAGACGGTATGTGTGTCTATAGATATCAAAAATGTAATGTATGTGCATGTGTACATACCGTTAATGTTGGGTCTGGTCGCCCATCTGCCCTGCATCGTAGTGTAGTAGGCTCACCCTTGGGGACTATCACACTCTGTGGATGCTCAGTTATGCGTGGAGCATAGTCTTCCCTTCTATTACCACCAGGTCCTCCAATCACTGACAATCAAATCACACAATATCATTATTGCATTATTAACCTCTGATGATTAACAGATGAACAGGTGATGTGACCAAAGAGAAATCCTGAGATGCACAAACTACATAGGGTACCAGTGCATTGTACACGTGCAGCGTCAAATGTGATGCAGCTGCTAAGCAGAATACTCCTCATGGAAGCCATTCGCTCAGCCAAAATCAGCTGAGAATGGCAGTCCAACCATGCACATGGCATGGACAGTTTAGCTGCTAACCTGTTTTGCCCAAGTAGATATTTTCTGCACTTAGTACGTTTCTGTGCTTAGCAATGCCATGAAATTGGTAATGGTCTACAAATGAAGACAACTTCATTATTACAGGTACATGTACAAGTACAATGTACATGTGCACATTCCTGTATAATAGACGTACGTGTACATGTATTCTTATTTATAGGATCAGGACAGCATATACATGTATCAGGGAAATATTGGGTGATTCAGTAGCAACTGCCAAGTTTTTTTTCAAATAACAAGTTCACATATGAAGCACATTTATCACATGTAATACTTCTACTCATCTTGGATACATTGTACAATATAACAAATTTGCCCATCAGAATATCAGTAGTGTCAACTAATGTATCCAAGTACAGCCATGTGGTTGCGAAGGGCGATTTCTAAAGGTTACATAACACTTTATTTTGAATGAGACTACATGCACACAGACATGTTCACACAGGTGGACAAAGTCTTTTAAAATTAATTGAAGCACATTTATTTCTCCCGTTTGCAAGACAGTATCTTCTTGCAACTTTCAGAGTTTATTTCCTTATTATGATCCAAGTGGCCAAAAATCGTTGTGATATGTTCATTACTTTTCGTTGAAATTGGAAAATAGGCCTGTCTATGTGCATTTTAAAAGTTGTAACACTGGTGTTTGCAATATCTGCCAATCTTTTCAAGCCTCACGAATATTAGTAAGGTTCCTATCTACTATGGTGTGCAGTAAAGAATTGCATAAAACACTCCTTATCACCCTAATATCACCCTTTTTGCCAGCTTCCATTGGTCGATACCGAGACCCACGCCAAGTCACGCCGAGTGACGCTAATGAATATGCTAATATGCAATTGTCCATTGTGTGGCCGGGCCGAAATCGGTCAACCATAGTGCCTACTGCGCTCAATGTCTTTGCTGAAAACCACGTGTTGTTTTGGTAGGCAAAAAATCCTTGTTGAAATTTTCCTTGGAGATAGTTCAAGGTGTAACACTAGCGTTTGTAACAACAGATTAAGCTGAAATTCGGAATATACTGAGATGATATTTGTTCAACTACTCGTGAAATAAAAACTTGAGTAGATTCCTAGAAATTGAGATAAATACATAGATTTAGGGAAGTTTTTGAACGATTTCTTCCAGTCTTGAAGGTCAGCTTTACCAGTAGCCAGTATTGACGTTTCGGCATCGATGACGGCGATTTTTTCACTGACATGAAGTTTAGAATTTCTTCTTCCGTTATATTTTAACATTTCAATCATACTGAGCATAATTTTCTGATAAACACAACGTTCAAAAGGCCATGTTTTTTGGGGTGCATAAATTTCACTGCTCTGTTATAGCTCTGTTATAGCGTCACATAAATTTCACTGCTCTGTTAAGTACGTAAGCGGATTAACTTTGCTTATCAATGGGCCACGCTTCGCCTTTGCAACCATATGGCTGAGTCAGCCACCAATGCAGTATGGAGTTGGGACACGTACCCCAAAATTTCTTACCAAAATACTGTAATTTCAAACCTGAGTGGCATTCACTATCCAAATGTTACGTAATTAATAGCGAGCAAGGTCACCGGACTTATCCTAGTGATGGATCAGGCCACACACTTGGCAACTGATCCAGCCATAGGTAATGCACATTGAAGCCAAGTAAAAATCGATTGGAAAATTGGTCAATAATGCTGCCTCACGATTAATCAACTGTTTCGTTGCGGATTGTAATAATACAAATAAAAGTCACACATAGATCATTATTAGATGTTTACCCAATTTCCTAACGAAACAAGACAAAAATGCTCAGGATGTTCACGAGTCCATAGTGAGTGGTGGCCATGTTTGCATCAGCGTGATCCTGTTGCTGTGCCAATGACTAGTTTTGGCAGATCTTACGTAATCACTTCGATAGTAAATTCTAAACTGCTGAGTTTTTTTTTCAAAGCTAAAGGAACAGCAGAGACTTAGATAAAGAGACTTAGAAAAGACTTACACAAACAGTGGGAAACACACACCAAACAGACAGATAACAGAATAACCATAGACAAGACACACATTCTGGTTGATGAAAGACAGCCAAAACTGTCAAGACAGACAATAAGAATGAGACAAACAGATGGACAGGCTAATGAACAGTCCTACAAACACATTAATGCAATACAGCATGACAGCACAAGGTTAAAAATTGATGCTCAAGGCGCTTTACATAAATACAGATATATACCAGTTAAAATTTTAAAATTTATCAATTGTTTACTAAAATTAACTTATATACCGGTATGTTCCAGGCAAAGTAGTTTTGTTTTGCTCAAGCTTAAGATGACATTATACCAGCACATGTGTCTTATTTCAGTGCCATTCAGTATGCAGTATTTTCATGAAGAGAGTCTGTTGCTAGACACTTTGATAAAACCATAAAACAGACTGGCAGAATGAGAGATCTTGGTACGATCACAACTCCCCTGATACTTGGACAAATAATGATTTGTGTAGGTGCAGGATGCAGCTAAGAAGATGTCTGGCATTCCCTGGCAGACTGTCAGGAGACTGCCAGGAGACAGGGTTTGTAATGGAGACCAGGAGATGGCTATGTCGGCTAATAAGACAACGCTATCACATTGGACAGGCTCACTAGTACCTCATCTCAAATACGACAGCCGTGTTTGTGGCATGACCAAGGATGTGTCATGATAAACTACCTGTATTAATAAAACATCTCCTCCAAGTTTGCCAAGAGTATTAAGTGGTTCAGTCAAGCACACTGTTGGACACGAACATGGTTTCTGTTTATCAATGATTTTTGTCTACTTGAAAATATGTATCTTGCATTTGAGTTTGTTATATACAGCACCGGTACCTTGATGTTATATTACTGTAATATTACCTATTGTTTTTATTCTTGAGTATGTTTTATTACATAAGATGATAAACATTGCTGGTAGTTTTGTCAAGATCACACAAACCATGGATTCTATAGGCCTACTCTTCGATACTGAAAACCAACAATATGAACAACCATCACTAACATTTGTAGGTACTCACCAAGTCTTTCAAATTAAGATGCATTAACCTTGATGAGTAAACCAATATTAGTTCTTGATATCTGTGATTCTAGCGGTTCAAATGTTTCAGAAGTCTTGAGAAGAACATGTCACATCACTGACGCCAAAGTGTGATACATGTACATGTAGATGCCATTTTCCACATGTATAAATTTACTGTAGACCTGTACATGAGTACCTACATTGTAGGTCAAGACTTCAACACTATCATGCATTCTATTGAAATTATACACTAGCATACATGTATATATTGTACGTGTCACACGTACATGTATGAAATGTAACATGCATATCTGAACATATTTATGTAGGTTAATCTTATGCACATGTATGACACCACCAGGGCATTTATGTACATGAATGTACCGGTATGTATCATGCTGGGTAGAATATTTCAACATACATAATTGTTTTCCTTAATATTACTGTTTAATCGATAGTTAACTTGACTCAAGTTAAAACCGACAAATGTACACATTGTAGCCCTGCCATACTTACAGTAGACTGATCTAAATACCATGATAAATTTGTGTATCGTACATTCAGTCTAACTGAATGCCAGAAACAGTACGAGCATGTAAATGCATGGCTTTGTCTTTAAAACATACGGTACAACTGTACACAAGGGCTCCAGCTCATGAAAAATTCAAAGGTTGAGAAATCAATGGACATCATTATACTAGCCTCCAATATGTTCAACAGTATACCTGTAGTGTCACGTAAACGTACCAGGGTATTAATCATGAGTAGGCCTAATGAGGGAAAAGGAGGCAAATCAGACAATGCTCTTAATCCCACATGACACTACCGGCACTTGACATGCAAGCTGACCACTGTCAAAATACAATTGTATCTTGCATACAGTCTCTAGAGGATCATGGATATAATAGCGCATTTGCTGACCATTTTCACTTGGATTGCAAGCGTAATACCAATGAGTTCACTCTTTGTGATTGACCCTCCTGCTGTCTGAACAGTCACAGACAGTCCAAAAATCAATCCTTTTTCCCTACCATGCCTTTTACACAGGCTAGTCACCAACAGTCAGATCATATTTCATATAGGCACTGCGACTAGTCAAATTCCATCAATAGACAATAGTAGGCAACTGGTAGGCACAGCTGGCTTATCAATCACCTATAGTCAAAGCATAGCCATATCAAGTTACATAAACAGCCACAGCCAGTCAATCCTTTTTTATGCAGGCAGGAGCGCTCAACTGTTAAAAATAGTCACTTGATTGATTTTGACTGCTTGGATGGCTTTGTTGAATTTGCCAGCTAAATGACTTTAGACACACAGAAGTGTTTATTACTAAGCTGTACCAGTCACTCATATACAAATTGTTAAAAAATAATCTGAAATACTTTCTCAATCCATGAACCTGTAGCATACGTAAGTACCGGTAATCAGAAAGTACAGCACTGCGTAACTGATCAGCATGCACATCTTTAACCATCTGGTACAGCTGACTTCAAGAGCACCGCCTCTATAGCGAATTCAGGATGTGAACATGCATTAGGTTGATGTGTTTATCCTACTCCAGTGTTATCAGTACTGACATAAACAATATTGAGTGCTTTTACTTGTGAGACCAATACAAATGTTTTTCCCATTCAATGGTCAGACTTCTTTCTAAGTTGTCCGAAACTGATCAGAATTTGCTTCAACATTCTCATCAATAGTAT